TTGCCCCTGACATTGCCGTAACCCTTTGTCAGGTCCGTCTGGACATTGAAGCTTTGAATTTGTCAGAGCCTGTGTGTAACAGCAGATAGAGTCCAGTTAGCTCACTAGGCGTCTGTCCGGAAGAGGGAATCTCGGAAGGACATTCGCAGCTGGCAAGCCCAGGGGAAGAGTACCCACCCCCTGCGTTCGGAGTAGATAAGACCCTAAGTAGTTATACAGTAGACAACCATAGCTACAGGTGACAGTTATTGTCAGTCCGCATCATCCCTTCCAGTGTCTGTCGGAAGGTCAAAGGAAAGACAATTACTAGAAAGTACTCCCTGCTGGCAGCCTTACTAAAAGCCTGCAGTAGGATCCGATCGCATTTACTAGCTTGGATAAACAAGCTAAGGCAGACAGTCTGCCAAAGTCCAGTCAGTGGACCATTTAGTTTGGACATCCGATTGAAACAAAAAGCATCCATGTCCAACTCAGATTCTGAAAAAGGATACCGTCTCCGAAGAGACCTTCAGAATCCTTACGCCCAAAGTTCTGCTTACAGGACCGAAGGGCCAAGGCTACCCCTTGTCCAGTGGTCCAACCGGAGGCCCAGAAGTACACGAGGTGAGACATCCACCGTCACGCAGGCCTCCACCATATCGGAAGGCCTAGACACCGCGGACTCCCAAACTACCGCCACTTTCACAATGGCGCTAAAGGAGCTTGACTTGTTTAGTCAAAAGTTCACGGGAGAACCCAAATCCTCTATCACTTTGGACAACTTGCGGTCTACTTACGCCGCATGGGAAGCCACTCATAAGTTGCAAACCGGTTTTGATAGGTTGACCACCACCGACAAATTCCACGTAATTATGTCTAAAACCGGTGGCGCAGCTCATGATACTTGTCTTACATTGCTAACCGAGAAGGAAGAAGAGTTAGCTAGGCACAATGAGACATTGCAATCAAATTATCTTAGGAATAAAGCAACCGCACAACAAGCCATCACGGCTTGGGATGCGCAAACGGTTGAAGAGAGGGGAACTAATGCTAGACCAACTTTACCACTTGAATCTCCTACGGTCACTAACATTTTAGGAGAACCTGTCACTGAACTTTGGGCTCGACTCTTGCAGGCGTACCCTAAGGACTCGGCGGCGAAGATTCAAGCATATGGAGATTTCAAGGTTGAAGATAATGAGTCTATTACGACAGCTAGTCAACGTATGTCTAAGTTAGCATTAGATTTAAAACAACCCCAAACGCAAGCGGCTGAGAAGCTACTCAACGCATTGCCATGGAGTATACAGTCCAAGTTAAGAACCAAGTTACAATTTCAATATGAAGATATTAGTACATGGACAGTAGAGTTAATAAGGTTTGAGGCTGAAAAGCTTGAGAAGATAATTGACCAAGAACGATTGTTGAATCCTAAGATTATTAATAATAATAGTTCTACTGGTACCACCCATCCCAAGAATGACACTAGGCCTAAGACTAGAAGGGTTACAAGATGTACTACTTGTGGACGATTAGGGCATTCGGCCCATAATTGTAGGGTAACTACTAATAAAGTGAGCGCCAAAGCCGCGCAAAACACTCCAATGACATTTCAACCCGGCCCTTGTTTTCGATGTGGTCAAATCGGACATCAAGCCGCACAATGCCCGAGTAAACCAATGGCCAATGGGCCCATCAATCAACGCATCCTCGGCAAGCCATGGTGCACACATCATCGGCTTAATACTCATGACTCATCACAATGTGTTCATTTGCATCCGGAATTAGCCAACCGGCCACACAATCCAACCACTCGAAGTTCCGCCGCAACGCATAGTCGAAGGAACACTCGAGGGTTGAAAGATAGCAATCTAAAGAAAGAGCTATGGAAAGAATACGAACAACGTCATCAAATCTCAAATGCATACTCATCTCGAGGATCAAGTCCCGCAAATTCTAAGGAGATTGCCTCCGAAAACCCTTTACCAACTCATGTCAAGAATGACCGAGCACGGGAAATTGCAAAACAAGATAAAGAAGAGAAATTTGAATTTGACATGGAACTCACCGAAAATAAGTTGCATGATCAAGCTCAAGCCAAAGCCGCAAGGCGCCAAAAGGCACAAAATAATTTGCCTACCCCAAAGCCCGCCACCGTCACTAAGAAGCGAGAACGCAAACGAGTGGAAAAGAAATATTCCCGCAGACGCACTGGAACGCAATTTCTAAGGCGCAACCCTGACATGCCATTAAGTTTCCGACCAACTGAGGAAATTGAGAAATTCCGTTCCAATGCGAGGGGGGGAGAAGGGAGTACAATCGATTATTCTGAGAAGTCTGAAACTTTTCGATCCTTGGAAATAGCAAAAGCGGAAGCGCCGCAATTTTTATATCATATACCTAAGGACCAACTTAGAACCGATGCCCAACGAGCAAAGGATGAGGCGGAACAACACAAACGAAGCATAAAGATGACTAAAGAACTAGAAGAATTGGATAAACTACCCCCAATCATAACAAATAAATACCATGAAAATTATGAATATTGGAAGGACCCGGCTGACCCAAAATGGATCGGAAGTCCACGCACACCACCCGCAGATCCAAAATCAAACAGCTACAAAAACCCTCATCCGGATTTCCAAGCTGTGCTGAAGAAGGATCCGCGTGGCTATGATTTTGGTTTTCAGTCTCTATCTCCAGAAGCACAGAGCACTGAAAGAGCCAAACTGGCAGCCATGACACCCAGACCTACTGGATCCAGTTCAACAAACCAGTCTAGTTCGGATGATGACCCGGCAGACTCCGTGACTGCCAGCCCATCCAACCTCACTAAACAGGTGTCCAGTGCCACTGGCACTGCCTCAGCTGACCCTTCTGGAGATCCAGAGAGTCAGGAGCCTCTGCCTGACCAGCATCAGTCAGAGAGGGCAGCTCGAGCAAGCTTGGCTTGCTTATGCTCGAGCATGCACCATTGTCACCTTGACAACCTAGAAGCTGACAAACTAGCACACAAGACTCGTGACAATCCTGCATTAGGCTTGCGCGTCGACAATATTGTCGACCCACAGCCACACACTTGCCCAAACGAAGGATCTCTTCACATGGAGCATCCTTATCCATGCCGACTAGGACAGGAACCGCCAGCCCTGCAGCCAGGCAATCTTCCACAGTCTTCCATTTTGGAAGACCATACCAATACTGCAGCCACTTTCTTGCTCAAATTGTCCACACAGGAAGCATCCCCCCCCAGCCAACAGCTTGTCCTCTCGCCCCTGCGCAGCCGTACCATGGCATCTGAGGAGCACCAGCGGGACCCAGCTGTGGGGGGCGGGCGCCCCCAGGTTTTTGCGCAGACAGAAGGAGGGAGGCAGCCGAGCGCGCAGCCGCAGCAGACTGGCCAGCAGCAGAATGGCCAGCCGCAGCAGCATGTCCAGCGGGACCCGCCCGCGCCTAAGCCTTTCCCAGGAGGTAGGCAGCCCGGCTTAGCCGCTTTGGCCGCATCTGCATTCTATCCGCCGCTTAATGCAGAGCAGCTAGAGACTTTGGAGACTGGTTTTGGACCGCTTTACAACAGCCTGGAAGATAGACCGCTGTCAGAGTTCGGCAGCAGTTTGCCTCCCCTGTCTTTCTTCTCCGAAATCGAACAGCTGGCAGCGACAATCACGTCAGATTTGCCAAAAGACGACGACGTCCCTGAGCTAGAGGACCCAGTCGAGCCAGAAGGTGCGTGGGAGGAGGAGAACGTAGACATGTCTCAGAACCACCGCCGGTTTGTGCCAGATTTTGGCAGAGCCGAGTCTTCTTCTTCGTCGGATGGTCAGTCAGATGATCCATCCTATCAGCCGTCAGACCAGGAAACTAGTGAGGGCGAGTCTGCGGAGTCGGCAGCGGAAGAGCTGGACAGCCCAGAGACGTCAGACCTGTCGCCTCTGGACCTCCAGGATAACCCAAACCTTTCCCCCTCGTCTGCAGACCGCGTGACCCTCCCCCAGACCGTTCCCCCATCGTCGAAAACCTGCGTCGGCTGTGCCAGCGGCAGCCCCGCTACGACCCGAACCACTCTGAAGTGGGTTCGGACAATGACATCCTGCACCCCTGGTCCTCCACCCACATCATCAACGACCCCCAAGACTACCCCTGCTTCTGGGATGACGTCCCCGGGGACGAGCAGCGGCTGATCGGCGACGTGGTCTTCGTCGTCCAGCGCCGCGTCCCCACCCAGGGCTCCGAGAAGCACGCTGGCAAGGTGGACCGCAAGCTCATTGCAATCCAGCGCAACTTCTTCGTCATGGGCGACCGGGAGGCCGCCCAACGCTGCGTCAGGTACATCCGGACAGCTGACCGCCTGGAGGCTGAGTTCCGGTGCCGCCGCGAGGAGAGGGAGCCTGCCCCGGCCCCCAAGCGCCCCAAGGGCGGCCTCTTCACGATCCTCAGCAGCCTCGACACCCGGATGGCCAACGTCGAGCAGCGCCTGCCGGACCTCAAGGGAGCCGGCCCCTCATCACCGCCCCAGCCCAGCCCTTCATTCGCCTAGGGCCAGCCGTAGCCGGCTGCCCCTGCGAGCCCCACGGGACTTGCCGCCCCCACGGACGGGCCGCAGTCCCCTAGGCGCAGCCCCCGCGCCACGACTACCCAGGTGGCCGCCGCCCTGGCCATGCTAGCAACGGCCCCCACCGCCGCAATCCTGCCGACGTCCACCGCGGACCGAGCCCCCGCAGTGCCGCCGCGCCAGGCTGCCTCCACGACCCCTGAACCCGGCCCCTGAACCCGGCGGGAGCACGAGCGAGCCTGACCAGCCTGCACGATCTGTCAGCGCCGCCAGCGGCAACATGGTAAGTCCATGCCCGGAATTACGTCAGCTGGAAGCTTCCAAAGACACTTGTTCTGAGCAAAACCCAACTGCCCACAGCGCAAAATCATCTCGAGAACAGGATTTGGATTACACTACTACCCTCGTAGGTCCGATAACGTCAAAAACCGACAAAGAAACCCAGTTAACCACTGCCCAGGTTCGGGCTGTGGGCACTGTCTTAGACATTACGGATAGTGAAGAGTTTGAGTTTCACTGGACCTCCGCACACAACTTACCCCAGGAGTTTCTGGAGAAGTTAGAATATGGGTTGTCCGTTCTGGTTAAGTCAAAGTGGCTTTTGGAACCAGAACCAATGGTTTTTCAGTTTCTGAAACCAGAGCCAGGCACTGAACTTACTGAAATTTTTAAGAACGCCTGGCAGTCTGTAGCTCTGTTTATGCGGCTCTGTCTGGCGTCTCAATTTTTACACGCCACCGCGTCAGGCGTATACAGACATTATCAGTGGTGCGAAATTAAACAACCCAGTGCCGTCAGACACAGGGTTTACGCACCTCCGTTGGCCCTCTGTGACCTGCCCATCCAGCAGGCCACCTCAGCCCGTCAACACTGTAAGTCATACAGTCAATTCGTTAGTCCAGTAGGACGTCTGCGCTTAAATCAACTGGCCCTGATGGACCACGCAGACATGGCAACAGGTTTCCACCACGCCCCTCGAATCGACAATTCTGGACCAACGCCAGCTTTCTTAATTAACGGCGTTGCCTTGGAATGGCTAACAATAGACACTGGCTGTGAAAGCGTAATAATATCCAACTGGACAGCCAAAAAGCTAGGCATCGCTCCAGAAATGCGTCAACGAAAAGCAATCAGTCTTATTACAGCGGATGCTGTCACTACAGCACCCGTTGATCGTACATGGGACACAATCGAAATCGCAATTAATCGACACACGTGTGCGTCTACGACGGTCCAGGTCAAACTAACAATTGTTCCGTCGCAGACCCGGGAGACCCTCATCGGCATGAGCGTCATCGGCAGGATTGGCTTGACACCAAATCCGTACAACCAAACTTTGACCTATTATCCGAAATGGTGGGAAGAGGGATCCCCCACCGCGGAGCTGCCGTCCATCTTTAATGTGGACTTGGTCAATAATTGCTTGCTTGCCGCAACCAGCTCGCGCATTAACCACGTCACTCTTGCTTACGCAGGTCGAGTGAGTGCAGCAGCCGCCCCCGGACAGCCAGCAGATATCGGGCGCAACGCCCCCAGGCCCCCGCCGCCGTTTGAACGGCTTTGTACAGGTCCTGTAGTAGCGCCGCAGTCGGCGCAGGAGGAGAGAGCAGTTCGGCTACAGTTGGAATTTAGAGACCAGCTAGCCACACAGAGTGTCATAGCTAGTTTTCAGCGGACTATCCGTAGCCTTACAGAGCAGCCGCCTCCGGCTATACTTTTGGCCTCTAGATATGGATCCCCATTGGATTCGAACTTTGTGGATATCCACGAACAAACGGCTGTAAATAGTTCAGGCATAGTGGTGCTAGAACTATGTTCTCGATTGTGCGCAACAACAGAAGCACTTGTTCGCAGCGGTGTAAAAATTTGCAAAGTGTATGCATGCGAAATTGACAGCCTCAGCCGTGAAGTGGCTCAACAAAGATTGACCACTCTTGTTAAGTTGTTTCCACACCTCATTACATCCGAAGCAATAGCTACATGCCACAACACACTACCACATGACGTGTCGGCTATAACCGAACAACACATAACTACACTCGAGCCAGTGGACATGGTAGTAGCCGGATTCCCATGCCAGGGATTTTCATCCGCGGCCACTAAGCCGCTTGGATTGCGGGACACCCGCACGGCATTGTTTTACACATGCACATAAATAGTACGATTAATATACCGTAATCATGGTCCATGCATATGGCTCTTCGAAAACGTTGACGCAACGGATCATCGCGACCCACAAGTCGCACAAGAATATAATCATGTAGTCAAGGGAATATTAGGCCCAGGAGTGGCCTTTGATGCAGTGGCCGTAGGATCATATGCACACCGCAATAGGCGATTTTGGACTAATGGTATACCACTAGCCTTGTTGGATAACATGGTGCAGCATACATTCCAAAACCTACCCACTCAAACAGTGTGCGACATAATTGAAGAGCACCATGAAGCTCAATTAGCCGCGCATGCATCAGTCCCAGGGGATTACGCAGTGAACGAAGTCGGCAAACCGCTACGAGCTTTTGCCACATTCGTCACAGTGAAGGGATCACATGCCTACCGAGATAATGGGCACAGCTTGCTAATCAACACAGACACTGGGAACCTGGAAGAACCCAATGCAAACGAAAGGGAAGCCGCCATGGGATTCATGGTCGGCACAACTGCACATGACGCAGTTACAGAGGCCGAACGCAGGCGAATGTTAGGAGGAACCATGGATATGTTTCAAATTAAATCCCTAATCGGAGCTATCATGGTCTTTCAGCATGCCTTCTTCTTAAATTGACGGCGCGCTGAGTCACAACTAGCTAAAATGAGAGACACTAGTGTGACTCGCCTAGCAATCCTGAGCAATATGCCTACAACTCACCTCATTTCGCCCCGAGAATTATATCATTTAGCAATAATCAATCACAGGTCAATAATGTCCCACCCCGACTTCCGTAGCAGAGTGCATAGCGAACGGCCAGGTTGGTATGTTCCCTATGCAAGGGGGGGGGGAGACCAAATCCACTTCGCCAACTCTTACCTGAACACAAATTCCAATTCAGATAAGCAGATAGGCACCTCAATTAGTTTCGACCAAGCTAATTTAAGTAAAGACAGCCCTGACCATCCCCTCAGCAGACAAGAAGCCAAACTTCAACTGAGACGCGCAGGAAAGGGCAGCGAGCGCTCGCCCGGCGAGCACATAAATCACGTTAGTGGTTCTAAGGATCAGCCGAGAGACGGCAGATCAGCCGGACTCAATTCAAAGAGTCCCGGCGAGCAACCAAAGGAAGCTGCCAAGCAGACAAGTCCAACGGCAGGACCTGCAAAAGACAAAGGTTTAGTTGTTAACCCTGCAAAAACAAACGACGAGGAATGGAGCTGGCCTATAGGAGATTCGCTGACTGAAATACAACAAGCACAATTAACAGAGCTCCTAGACAGTTTTAAAGACATCTTTGCCTTCAACATGCAAGAGATGACTACCATTCTTGGAGTGGAATTCGAAATTCCAGTCAGTGCCGAGACACCAATCTTCAAACATCAATACCGGTTAGCGCAGTCAGAAAAGGAAGACCTAGCGCAACAAGTGGCAGAGCGACTTAAGAATGGCCTCATCAGACCGTCAACCTCACAATGGGCTTCCCCCATTACTATGCCACCCAAGAAGGACGAAAACGGAGACTGGACGCAGCGAAGAGCTTGCGGAGACTACCGTGGCCTCAACCGGGTTAGTGTCACTGACCACTATCAAATACCAACACCAGAAGAAATATTCGACGTCATAGGCGATGCTAAAGTGTTCACTACCCTGGATTTTCGCCAAGGATACAATCAGATACGGATTGCAGAAGAAGATCGCTGCAAGACCGCATTCTGGGGAGCAGATGGGTTGTACGAATGGTTGGTCATGCCATTTGGACTAAAGAATGCACCGGCCTTCTTTCAGAAGGTTATGGACCAAACCCTCCGCGCTGAAAGGGCTTTTTGCCGCTGCTACATTGATGATTTAATAGTGTTTAGCAGAACTTTCGAATAACACCTGGCCCACCTGAAACAAGTATTTCAACGACTCAGAGATAGAGGAGTCAAGTGCCATCCTAAAAAGATGCGCGCCGCCGTACCCGACGTAGGATATTTGGGACACCTGATTGTCCCTAAAGGAACCGCAGTGCAGAAAAAGAAGGTGGAAGCAATCTTAAGAATCCCACCTCCTCCAGACGTGAGTGCACTAAGAGCCTTTCTGGGAACTGCCGGATACTACCGGAAGTTCGTAAAGAATTACAGCAAGATAGCAAACCCACTAAATCACTTGCTGCAGGAAGGAGTATCATATGACTGGAGGACTGAATGCCAACGAGCGTTTGATGCGCTGAAGACGCATTTGACAAAAGCACCCATCCTTCGCCGGCCCGACTTCAAGCGCGAATTCGAGCTGCACACCGACTGGAGTGCACAGGGGCTTGGCGCAGTGCTCATCCAACGAGATGATGAGGGCAACGAGTATGTCGTTGCCTATGCCAGTCGCAGCTGTAACAAGACGGAACGCAATTACTCCAGCTACCACGGTGAGTGCCTAGCTGCGGTTTGGGCTGTTTCCCACTTCAGGTATTACTTGTACGGCCGCAAGTGTACTCTGATTACAGACCATGAACCGTTAGAATGGTTAATGACCAATGAGAAGCTAAGAGGAATGCACGCTGGCAGATGGGCTAACATTCTTCAGGAGTACGACATCTACATCAAACACAGGTCATTAGTTAACAACCTAGATGCAGATGGATTGTCTCGCAACCCGCTTCCATCAGAGGTAGATTCTACCGGTGCCAAAATGGACCATGTCCAACCGAACGAATTGAGTGAAAAACGCACCTCAGAGCGATCCAGTGCCACTAGAAGTCAGAACGACACTGAAGCTTCGAATAGCCTGCTGACTATTCAGAAGGAGGGGATTGCTAATGAAAGCAAGCCGCCCACAGTTGACTCGCCCAGCGTCTTAGCTACAATGCTAGCTAGAACTGTAAGTCAACAATGGACTGCTAAGTCGACTGAAAGTGGCAGCCAGGGACGACCAATCCAGAGAGAAATCTATCCTTTCCATCATGCATCCCGACATGTGCATGCAGGCTCAAAGAGCAGAGACCTGAACCAGGGAACAACAAGCCAAGTGGACTCCTATTCCGTGCTGAGACTGTCGACGGGGGACCTGCCGACTACAGGACACGTCATGAAGCAAAGGGCATGCGCTTCAAGGCAACTTCGCCCTAGGGTTACAAGTGCTGACATCTCAACCATAACACATGCCAACCAACCGCACGAAGCACAAGATTGGAATACTGCCCAAGATCTTCATGTGAATCAGAAAATTGCGATTCCATCTGGCGAATCTTCCGCGCAACCTCCTCTGCAAGTCAATTCTGCCCCAGACCAATCCCAATCAGAATTAGACTTGGTAACTGAGTCAGTTACCGGCGTCACGGGCACAGACGCAATTGAATCACACTTCCAAGGGACAGATAAAGATGGTGACCTCCTAGGTGACGACCCGGAATTGGCTCCCATTCCCGATATCTGGTCTGACCACAACACAATACAATATCTGCAGGATAATTGTGTCTACCCAAGCCATGCAGGCCCCAAGGAACGGGACCGGATACGGTGACGGGCACGAAGCTATAAGTTTGAGAACAATGCTCTCATGAAGCTGACCAACGATGGCATCTTAAAACGAGTGCCGGCGCCTGACGCCAGGGCAGCATTAGTGGCTGATATTCATAAGCAATTCGGTCACTTCGGAAAAAAAAGAACTTACTCCTTGTTAGAACCCACACACTGGTGGGCAGGAATGCACGAACAAATTGCGCAATTAGTGGCTAGCTGTCAAGTATGTGACCGCGTAAAAACCAGTTTCAACATCAAGGACTCAGTACTCAAGCCCCTTCCAATCATGGGCTTAGGGTACCGATGGAGTTGCGACCTAGCAGGGCCGCTTCCCCCATCAGCAACTGGATATCATTACATCATGGTAATGATAGAACACTTCTCAAAGTGGTTGGAGCTAGTTCCACTCCCCGACAATACCTCTGAGGAAACATAAAAGGCTTTCCTTCAGGTCTGCACCAATTTTGGTGCGCCCGCGGAAGTACTTACTGATCAAAGACAAGAATTCCAAGGAGAATTTGACACCTTATGTAAGGAACTTCTCATCGATCACCGTGAAACTTCACGCGATCACCCTCAAGCCGACGGCCTCGCTGAACGCGCGGTTCAGACCACTAAGCGAGCCGTACGAAAGTACGTATTAACACATGCAGTTGATACCTGGGATGAGTGGATCCCTTGGATTGCCATGGGGTACCGCATGTCAAAGCAAACGTCGTTAGGAGACTACTCACCTTACTTCCTAATGTTTGGCAGACATCCCGTGGTAGGAGCAACCCTCCGAGAAATGGTCAACACACCTGTCGACCTGGATAACCCTGACGTGTGGGAGGAAATCATTACAGCACGTTCAGAGGAGTTTAAAAAGGCTATCCCTATAGCCTTCAGCAACCTGCAAGCAGCGCAACACCGGGACACTTTATGGTACGCCAAAACACGTACTGGCAATTGGAGCCCTAAAGTTAAGAGGTTTGACTTGTAGGAGACTTGGTCTACCTGCGTCGCAGACAAGTTGACACACTCGATGTCAATGTAGGCCGCATCATCCTGAGAATTAAGGAGATCCTACCTAATGGAGCGCTCAGATTGCAGGGCAGAGATGGCAAAACGGTTAAGGATCACGTTGAGAATTGTGCTCCGTGTCACAATCCAGCCATAGACCTCACCATGGACACCACACTTTCCGGATACGATGAGGACTGGGCTTGTCAAATTTGCAAGAAGACAAACCGACCTGCCAAAATGCTTATTTGTGACTACTGTAGCGAAGGCTACCACATGGACTGTCTGGACCCACCTATCCTGAGACTCCCAAAGGGAGATTGGTTTTGCCCATGCGGTGCGCTTTATAAGCTCCAAGCAAAAGGGGCAAAGTCTAACCTGTGTTTTCACTCATGCAGGAAGCATGGCATCCAGCTCAGCACAACAACCAGAGGCCAACACGTCACAACAGATTCAGAGTTCAGGATGGGGCCCACCCCCAACTCCTGGCCTAGAAGACTTACCACCTTCCTACACACCGAATATATATTATGATCATCTCAAAAAGTTAGCCATTCATGAGTGGGACGAATATTGGTGGCCCACTAAGAAGGTCCAACTCGCCTGGCGAATGGGACAATGGCATAACCGAATTAAAAAACTAGTGCTCTCATTGACCAGATGCATAGAGAATTACTTGCACTAGAACGAGAAAACGATCTTGATCGCACCCCGATCAACGTGCGCCAGTACTTACTTGCCAAGTGGCCGCGCACTGAAATAAACGAAGTATTGGAAGAGTGCACCGCACATTTCCCACAGGGAACTGTCACCACCAGACGTATGAGTACGCCGCGCAGAGACGCAATGTTGGAATTCATCGAGCGACAAGTCGATGTAGGCCAGAGTACCCATACGGCGGACTGCACTTACTTCTTCATGCAACGATACGGCAATATTTGAGTAGACATGTGATTAATCGAACCGCGCCCGCGCTCCGCGATCTTGGGTCAGAGCTGATGCCATACTTGTATGGTGGCAAGGGACCACTCTTCCGAACATTTTAGCTTAGCATATTAACAAAATTGCGGATTTTAAAAGCATGGCACAAATTCACTCTTCATATCCCTGACTGCCTCAATCTTAAAGCCCTAAACCTCGTCGGGACGACTCGGTGGCTTAGGGGGGGGATAATGAATGACTATGAATTCCATACATGCCGTCTTATTTACTCAGCATATACCGCCAATTGCTCGTATCATGTACTTTTTAACGTTTAGCCGATCCATATGTCTCATCACTTCATGTAACCGACGTCAATCGAACGCCGACGTTATATCGCACGACAGCTGTCATGCCACAACGCGTCGCTGCCATAACGCGTCGCTTGGCCAACCAGCATGAGACATGTGGAATGTCGTAACGTACTTAGATAAGTCAGTTAGCTTAAACCGACCGCGGTTAGCGCACCTAACCATAACCTCGTAGGCTGGTCACGGATTGGCTATTGATCAGTCACATCATACTGGACATCCATTGGTGCAACCCGTTATCCACAATCCAATTATTGCAACCAAGGTTCTGGGATTGAATCCGGGTACGTTTTCGAACGTTCCCTGGAGACGTAACCAGTCGCTAACCGGTTATGTCACCGCAAGTCACCAGGTTATGATACCGGCCGTCGCGTACCCTATAGCATGTGGCGCAGCCAGCTGCAGCATGCAAGTGGATGTCCAAACTCATTATGCGAATCCACGGGTACTTAAGCCAATGGCTCAGCCATTTTCCAACTTGACTTTCATTCAAGTTAACTATCCATCGCCACCGGACACCCGTGTCCACCCAGCATCCAAGCGCCTTGAGCGTTCAACCCAGCACCCGAGTACCTCGAGTACTCAACAAGTGACCAGCGCCAGCAGTACCGGCGACAGAGGAGACAACACCAACGTACTAGCAACACCAACAACACCACCGGAGCAGGAGAACGACAACAACAGTAGCAGTACCAAACACGGCAGTAACTTAATCGGCCCTATAGCCTTCAGCGTTACCTTCTTGTTTCACATCACCATGTCCCATGCCTCCGGCGACGCCATCATCCAGTCAGTAAGTGTCAACTGCTTGTACTTGTCTTGTGTTCATGCTTGAGTCCCTTTGGACATCCAGAATCCTGAATGCGAGCCACCGCCACCCTGGGTAGCGAACCTCTCGGACGGACAATGGGGATGCTGTGGGGATTACCTTGAATGTTAGCACAAGCCACCTCCAATGCAGCTTGTTCATAACGTGCCATATACTAGCCATACTTTTCTGAGCGCCAGCTTAAGAAACCATCGTGTCCTTTCAATCAATCCTTAACCAAGGGAAGGGGCCCGACCCCGGATAATGAATGACTATGAATTCCATACATGCCGTCTTATTTACTCAGCATATACCGCCAATTGCTCGTATCATGTACTTTTTAACGCTTAGCCGATCCATATGTCTCATCACTTCATGTAACCGACGTCAATCGAACGCCGACGTTGTATCGCACGACACATGCTAGGCTAGCAGCTTCTCCTAGCCCAGCGTACGGGAATCTCGACCAATCAGTGCGAAGCATATAGAGCGCTTCCGCCCGGCCGCCATACATGATTCATAAGATAAGATGAGCACCAGAAAGCATGTGAATGTTAGTATGATTGACAGCGCCACCCGTTGAAATGTGCGTGTCCGGCAGGCATATGAGATCTCTTGGCCTTGCGCCAGACAATTTTGCGCTTGCTTGCAACTTAATCAGCCTTCCAATTACGTGGGCATATATCAAGCCGGAGACGAAGCGGAGCGGCTGCACAATATGCCCCCAACCTTCGCAAATATTTCAGTCCAGGGGCTGTTCGTCACTTGCAGTCGGCAGTCCGCGTACCGTATCGGCTGTCTTTTCGTGGCACTCTATGTCCATTGACCAACGGCTAGCAGGGTACTTCTTTGCTGCCAATCAGCTCAAGCGCCTAGACGATTCGATTCATTCTGCCACAACGTTGTACGTCTAACCGTACTTTGTCAAAATCTGGGAACGATAAAGCAATCTCTGCTCAATTTCGAACTACGACCACCAAGTGCGGGCCTCGAAACGAGCCCGAAAAGCTCCACATTAGTGTGGAATCAACCCCTGCTTTACAGTAGGTAAGAGTACCGCTTCCTTAGACCCCCTCGTAACCCAATACGTACACTAATTTGCCCGTAGAGAAGCTTTGGCAACCCGTTTAATCACCAGGCCGTTCAACTGTTTCTATACATCTAGAGTCGCTTCTTTGAAGCTGCGGACTTCAAAGGCCCATCCCTAGCCTGCAGCTTTCCTCCACGCCAGCTTATGCTTCACCTCGGTCTGCAGAGAAAATGGATCATGATCAGTCGAAGCGCCTGGAACAAACGGTTCGAAGAACCTCAAGTAAAAGTGCTTCTCGATCTATAAGCGAGAACAGTACCGTTCCCGTCAAAAATTCTGCCTACACTGCCCGCAATCCGAAGCCGAAAGTGGTAAGGCTCGAACAACACGTGTCCCTAAATCGAAGGCGCGGCCTGGCTTGACGTCGAAGTGCAAGTCCTCATTTGTCTGGCCAAGTGAACGTTACAACAAGGCTTACCATGTCTCGGTTCCTCACAAACAGCAAGTGCAGCCGGCGCGCCTGCTCCGCGATCCGCTCGGCGTCTTTGTCGCTCCACGTGTCGTACGTGTGTTCGGAGATGAGCTGCATGTCGTCACTAAGATCTTGCAACGTGTACTCTGGCTGCTGACCCGTGGAGTCGAGCTGCTTGCCGTTGATCTTGTTCCGGATGCGGATGAGATTCATGGGCCTGAGAGGAGATGCGGATGAGGTTCATGGGCCTAAAAGGAGATCATTGCGACGTTCAGTGCCGCCACCACTGGCTTACAGGGCTCGGCATCAGCTTGTCCGACCAAGCCTGCGATGGCATCAGCATCTTCGACTTGCTCCTCATTGCACTACTGGTTGCAATAGCAGGAAACGTTCGGTCGAGCAAAGAGTTGCACCCAACGGGACCCCACGGGAAACGTGCTCGCATTTGCGGAGAAGAAAGCGGCGAAGTAGTTGCTTGGACTGAGCTTCTTTGCGTAGCACATACACGAACCATTTCAGAACCTCGTCAGAAAGGAAGTCTCGAAGCGTACTATTACTTGAGTAAAGTCCGGCTGTAGACCAGAGGAACAAGCCCAGACAAAAGCGTTCGCCTCAGGGGTAGAAGAGTGCTTCAATTGAATCAACGACATGGCAATCCTGAGAAGACTGATACCTTACTTGTCGGTGTCCCCGTCAGGCGCGGACTCGATCTTGTCCGCGACCCGCAGCATAGCCCGGAACAGCGGGCCGTCCTCTTCCTCCATCCCGTCCAAAATGCTCCCCAGGATCTTTCGAGACCCCAACTGCTGCCTCCGGCTCGACAGCTTCCGGCGCGTTTCCCCGATCGGCGCGTCACTATCCGAGTCGCTGTCCGCACCCCTCAGGTCGGTATCCCCCAGCTCATCTAATTTCTTCCGCTTCTGTGCAAAGCCGTCCAGTCCTTTCGCTCGTTTCTCTGCTTGGCCGGGGCCAGAGTCCTTGGGGGGCCGCCCCCGGGGCTTCTTATCGCTCTGCAACTGCTGGCAGAAACCGTCGGGAATGACTCTCGAACACCCCAACTCTTCGACGATCTGCTCGAACACCCGTCCCTTCAAAAGCTTCCCGCCGCGGTTCGCCTTCAGCCCGGTGAGAATGTACAGGAACAACCGCGAAAAGCCGCAGCGGAAGCCCCACAAAACTTTCACCAGGCTCTCCCCTTCTTCCCGCTTCTTCACCCGGCCAACCCGCAGCAAGTCCGATCGTACGGCTGTGCGACCCTCGGCCTCCACGTGGCGCTCCAAGGCTAGCAGGTCCTTCTCGTCCTTGATCAGCTTGTCCGCCTCGCTCCAAGCTTTGCGGTCGGCGCGGAGGAGTTGCAGAGCCTTAACCGCCGGCGGATCGCGCTGAAACTACAGTAGAGGAAAGATGTATATTTGATAACAAGGGAGATTAAAAAGTTCCGTTTTCGTTACTTGAAACCGAACAATCTGGCGAGTCTCGTTGTTCATCCGTATTAGTTGACAACACGACGCAAGTGCGCTCTGTGGGATTGCATGTCGGCTACGTGGTCTGCAGAAAGAAAGGTGCACAGCGTTGCGGGCCCCCTGTTTCATTCAGAGGGCTTACATGAGTCAAAAGACGAGCGAAGCTGCTCGCAAATGAAGAGAGTTGCGTTTTTCTCGTAGTCAATTGCGTTCGAGAAATGAGGGCGCCGAACGACAATTTCTTCAACTTTTACGCCATCCCGGCTTTACAACGCCCGTGCCCAAGCGACAACAAAGCACAAAAACAATCCGGAGCTCGTAGTGCTTACGTCATCGTGATCGATCAAGATCGGGGACGGCGACGTCTGACTCGGCGTTGGCGGGGCGCCTTCTTCCGCCTTCTGCACCCTGAACCGGGCCGGCACAACCACGTTCCGTTCGTCTACGATCTGGTCTCCCCCTGTTTCTGACACCTTTTCCGCTCCCCAACTAGACCTCCCGGCGCTTCCCCGGACCTCAGGCATGGCTGCGTCGTCACGCAAACCGGTCGACTCTTCCTGCATCGCGTCATCCCCGCTAGGACTGCTTGGCCGGACCCCTTGCGCAGACCCTGAGTCTGGTGTCGAGCCTTCCTGTTCCGAATCGGTATTCGCCCCTTCCCCTGCCTGCATTGCGGTTGGGCCCGTAGCGCCTTCCCTCGCCGGTTCTGCGGTCGGGGCTTGTCCCCGGGCGGAGACTTCTGTAGTGAACTGGTCCTGCTTTGTCTCAGCAACGACTGCCAACAGGTCCAGCCCCAGTGATTGGACGTGAGCGCCCGCGGAGGTGTCACCAGCTTGGTTGTTCTGGTCGGAAACGACCGGCGGCTCTTCGCCGCTCGTAAGGCCACTCGTGGACTCGGAAGCGAGTGATGGACTTTTCAGTACCTGAAAGAAAGGAGAACGCAGGTTCGAACTAACTGCGTCAGACTCCTGGGGAGTTGGTCTGGGGAACGAGATCGAATCTGATAAAAGAATCGAGGAGCTGTGATCAAGTTAACCCGCACGACCATGCAACCCCCAAGGAAGATGGCGGAAAACCAACTATCAACCAGTCACCTGAAAAAGGGAATTGGGCGGGCCTTGCTCAAAACCTTGCAACAGCGGACTAAAAGAAAATGGTGCCGTCAATCTTAGTAGAACTTCAAAGCAGGGAGGAGCATCACGCATCTTCCAATCCAGTTGAGTGCTTATGCAACATCAATTCAAAGCCTGACAACACCTGAAGACTCGCCAGTAACCAACGTACGCGCTTGGACGTAAGGACGTAGGCGGAGAATCCGCTGTTCTGGCCGTTCAGGGTACTAGAAGTAGCAGGATTCGTAAAGTCGCGGTTTTATTTCAAGTCGATACTGAGCCAACGAGGATCGTTTTTGGAAAAAGCACCTGCCACGCAGATTGAGAAACGGACTCGATCCGGAAACTTTGCAAGCTTGCCAGAGAAGAAGATGGGATACTCTCAAGAAGCTACTCACCAGTGCAGCATCTTTGGTTGTCGCTGCCCCATTTTGCAGGGGGCCAGCCCCCTGGTGACTGTCACTGAGACCGTCCGATTCCTCCCCCTCTGCTGCCTCCGTCTCAGCTGGTGGCGGGACCCGCCTTGCTGGTGCATGGGCGGATAACACATGGACTGTCAAGGCGTACATGTCTCCCCGTTTCACCTCGTACGGACAGCCGGACTTCGGACACCTGGCAACAGCCTCTGGACACACCTGGTCCAAGCAGTACACGGAAGTGAGTTGATATCACGTTGGAAGTATGTTGATACGAAAAACGAACTCGACACGCCTAGCTCTCAAACTTTGATTGGAGGAAGTCCTCTACTCGTACAGCCAATCTTCGCGATCGATCTGAATCCGAGTTGATCCCCAAGTCAAGTACTTTGCATACACCAGTCAGCGCAAATTGGAAACCTGTCCGTCAGTACGAAGCAACTTAGAAACTGTCTGTAGAACAAGTCAACTTAAGGGCTTGAACGAGTTACACCATATGGAATGTGAAGGCTCAGCAACAAAATCCTTACACAGCGATCTAAAAGCAGTCATTTTTGGAGGAACAAGACTATCAACATTCTTAATCGTAAAGGCGAAACCACATCTAGTCTGATTTGGAGTCGGTATATTCTGGAATCCAGAAAGGAAGCCACACGTTCATGTGACACTCCATACTTGGCTCAGATGCAGAAAGATAGGAGGCAGAAAGATAGGAGAGTTTGTTGCAAGTTACCACTGACCAACAACAGGCTCAGAAACTTCTAATCCAAACCCTCATGCAGCTGCTTGCAGAACTCAATAGTAATTTTCATACTAGAAAATAACCAGGTTGTGATTTTGAGAAGGATGTTGTATGCTCTGAACGTGAGGTCACCTTGAAGTGTTCTTCCCCATTGGCGAATAGAAACGCTTCCTTGCACAGAGGGCACTTTGGCTGGCACTCCGGCCGATGACTGCTCTCCACCAGGCATGCGGCCACCTTGACGTCACATCGAGGACAGGGCACCAGACGGTACTTACAAACTTTGCTATGCTCCTCTCTATCGCACACTGCAATTTTTTCCTCACAGAGAGGGCATGAAACCAGACGATACTCGCACTCATCCTCGTGCAGATTCAATTTCAGCGCCGGCAATGCAGCGTTGCACCCTAGGTGGCCACACTGCACGGGGCGGTACTCGCACTGCTCTTCATGCAACTGCACCTCCCGCGCTTTCATAATCTGCTGACAGTGCTGACACTCCTTGGGGCGGTAACCACACTGTTCTTCGTGCGCTTGCCGCTCGCCTCCGCTCCCCAAGTGGGGACATCCATGTTCCGCCTGCCAAGAGAAGTGCGATTTGAAAGGGACCTCCATAGCAAGATCAGAAGCTCCCACATCGTCATGGTCTGGGGTCTTGCGCAGTGATGTGATATTTGGCAAAGGGTCTAAGCCTTGAGACTCGAGAACCCTTGACAGCAAGCGGCAGACTTCACCTAGAAAGATGGATTGGCGGTCGCCGTTAGCTCATCATTTGAATCCGGTGGAATGGGGCACTGGTCAACAACAAGCTGTACTCAACCTTTCTGGGCGCCAGACATGGAGAGTCGATTGCCTGTCACTGAATATGAATCTGCATGTGCTTGGATTCTTTGATTTTACTCTCTATACTCCTGAATATCTGTGAAATGGAAATCAGTTGAGCAACAAATCTGCCGTTTGAGAAGGTTGTTGGGGTGTACTACAGCAATTCTTTGAGAAAAACAGTACTGCTTTCACAGTTGATGCACTTGGCACATGGCACCACAGATTTCTTGGAGCAACTCACCAGCACCCAGCTTCCGGTAATAATGTCTTGTTTCACGACTGCGTAGCGGCAGATGCCGAGGGCTAAGGGAGCCATGGTGATCCTGCACAAAGGCTTCTAAATCAACGTTTGTTGAACATGTTCTTTGTGTCTGATCATTTTTACCCTCTATGGAAAGAAGTGATTTGACAGTTAGCGTGCAAAGATCAGAAAACCTGTACGTGTGCATTCTCTATCGATACTCTAGCCGCACCAGTAAGTATTTAGGTCTTTTGAGTGAACATGGAATAAGGCTTCTGATAGGTTGATGTGACATGTTCTACAATCAGACTGCTTCATCTCCTTGTATGTATGCATCTTAGTGTACGAGGCACGAAGCACTTGCAAGGTCCCTGAAAGTTTTTGAATCATTGCCTGCAGATCTACTCCAAGTATCTAAAGCTCTTATTGTTCACGAGGGCAACTTGCAAGTACTTTACTTCTTGAGTATAGATGTCAATGTGAAACTACGCAGACAAGACATTGACAATCTTTGACCCTTCTGTAACCTGACCAACCAGGCTTTTGACTAGATTTGAGTCACCACCGAAGACCAGGAACTCACCTCAGAAGATTGCAAGTCGAACAAGCTGCTAGCTGAATGCTACGCCTCCATTTTAATGCAGGACCCGGTGAACATACGTAGCCAAGTCCTGCTCAGCAGACTAAGGAGGATGGTAAGCTGGAAGCAGGCTCAATCTCTGCAACTTTTCGGGAGAAGGAGGGCTTCATACCGGTATTCAGAAGGGCGTTCTCTCGCGGCGTAAAATGGCGTAAGATGGCGTAAGAGCACTCCTACCAAAACACACAGCATGACCTACCTGAGTCCTGACCGAGTGAGAGCGAGTGACGTGAGAGATACTGGTAGCTGGTGAATTCTACAAGTCGCAGCAGTGAGTACTAATGACTCGTGAGTACTTGAATCGTCTTGAAATCTGCATACCGGTTTGAACGGGGCCCTCTTCAATTTTTAACCAATAATGGGCATAAGATATTACTGCACGTGTGCCTCACGGCCTTTTCACAAGGGAGAAACTGGAGTTTGGCCGGAGTTCCACCGGGGGTTTGACCTGCTGAGTCCTGAAATTCCATGTTGGCAGCCATTCACCAATGGCCGTTGAAATTGGCACATGCATGCCTACCACAGGTCCAGGTCATTGGTGACGGTTCTCTCAACTTCTACCACATGGATACTGAAAGCCGTGACTACCTACCTGTACGACCAAGGTATGATTCCGAATGCTCGAAAAAGGCATTTACTTTAGCGAATGCGAGCCCAAATTATGTATTATTTTCCACTTTCCGACCCTAAATCCGAATGGCCAGGAGGTACCCGGTACCTACCTTTTCGAGGTCTGTGGCGTTAAACGGTATGTACCTTGTATTCATACGGCCTAGAAATCACTTTCCGAACGGGATTTAGCAATTATTTTCGGTTTCCGAAAAAACAGAATCCGACTGCTTATCCGGAGTTTTCAACTTTCCGAATGCAAATAAATATTTTTTTATTCGGAATCATACCTTGGTCGTACCGGTAAATGCAAAAACCCTTTGAAACCAGGAGTCCAGGACTGTACGCGGTCTATACCATGATGCGTACCGGGTTTTGAGTTTCGCCACCGTGGCGCGTGGCAAGGCGGATCGAAACGCAAGAACCAATCAGCGCGCGACTTTGACCCCCAAACTTCAATAAAGTTGCCCCTAGCCGGAGGTTCACCGGAGTTCATATGCAGTTGGAAATCCGACGTGGCACGAACTCCGGTCGCAAAATTCTAATCCATGAACGACCGGAATTTGAACTCCCGTCAAACTCCGGTCAACCGTCAAAGTGTAAATAGGCCGTGACTAGGTGTCATGATTGTGCTCAACTACACTCAGGCCCCTTCATTAACCTCGCACCCAAGATGTTGTTTTCGACGGATGGTTCGATAAACCCCCACAAAGGCCGAGGGTTTGATATCCGTCGATTCCGCAAATTGCGCACTGGGGCAAATAATGAAAAGGCAGACTGGTCGTGCAACTGTAGTCTGTAACTTCTCTTGGATGGTGCGCGGCGAGTTGACGTACCCAAAGCAGGTATTAGAAAATTAATAGTACCTAACCCCAGATAAGTGTATTAGGTAACCGCACTGTGACGGGTAGGGTTAGTATGGGGGTTAGGGTGGTACCGGTGTGGAGCGGGTATCGACGGTCGACGATTCGTTGCGTCCCTGATCATGACGTTTTCGCGGTAAGACGTTTCGATCATTCGCGCGATCCTAGGTACCTACCTATTGGCTAAACCCTTTCTGCTTCCACGACGTAGCCTTGACTTGGTTGACTCGTCAAGTTGTCCCCATAAACTAACATACTTTGTAAACTTAACCCCCAACCTCCAACCTACCTAAGTACCGGTACGTCCCGGGCGATGATCTTATCGTACCCGGCGGGCCGTCTAAGCTCCAAGCCACCTTAGCGGTGTCCCGGTAGAACCTACCGTATATACCGTGCGGCGTGCCCATCCACGGTCCACCCCTGTCCAAACTTCGGCAAGTCCATACGGTATATTATCTTCTCAAAAGCTGGCCCCCCCAAAGCAGTAAACCGCGAACCTCGAATTACAACCCGGAGGGAGGCACTTTCGATGGTTTCGAAGAAACCATTGACATTGACATTGACAATCTTGGAAAGCAGGCTTCCGGCCATACGGGGGAGCGAACTAGAAGCGAGGAGGCTATAGGCTGTAGCGGCAGAGCCGGGTAAGCTTGCGCCGGGCGGATTGAGACCAATCGTGAGTCATTATTATACTCAAGATGCCCGTCCGGATAAGGCCCCGGTAGCCTCCGCAAGATCCGGTCAATCGGGATCGGGTCCACCCATGCAATGGTATTTGCAAAGCCCAGGCCCAGGAGCCTGAGAGAGGAGTTCACACCGGGGAATTTTCACTTGTGACAGGCAGTCGCGGTGTTGCCAGCCGGACCACCAACCGGCCAAAGCTGTCCGGCAAAGAGAACCGCAGGCGGCAGACCTTGCAAGCACTGGGTGCCCACCGACCCGGGCGCTTCTCGGATACTGCACTAGACTGCACCAGTCGACTGCGGAAACCACCCGGGCAGCGGCGCAGTCTGCGAAGTTACGTTATTATTGGCACTCAAGTTACAAGAGAGAAAATAGGGGAGTAAGAGAGTGCAGACGGTGCCAATCAGCCAATCAAACTGCAGAGTTGCCCAAAACGTCTCTATAGAACCTCCTAAAGAAGACCCACGTTCAGTGGCCCGACTTGAATTTCTTATTGTCACCCTTTGAAAAATCTCTGTGAAGCCAAATAATAGGTAGAATTCTTGATCAACTTGTTTCGAAATTCCGAACGACTCAGTGACGTCTCACTTTTGCAAGCGTAACGATCCAATGCATGGATCCTATCTTGGAAAGGCGTTCATACATTGTCTCCCGCACTGTCTATGTCTAAGTTTGAGGTTTAAAGTTGAGCAATTGTATAGCACGCATCCGGCCATGTAGCATGGCATGTACTATCATGCAACCATAAAGCTTACATTGGGCCAATCGCATACGGTTGCGCGCCGCTCCAATCTCTATTTGAGCATGTAAGCAAAGTTTGTAAGTTGTGCCTGGATGGCGTACACGGATACATAAGATTCGGGTTCTAAAGAGCAGTCAGCTCGTAACATTGCGCACGCCCCGGGCGCAAACTTTGAACATAACGCTAAGTCGCATGGGGTTGGCCATGTGATACCAGCCCTGGCAAGCACTGATATCATGAAGCGGCTAAAAAATTTCAGCCGCGCTGAGTGAGTGCCGCCAAGCAAAACATGAATTCCTACCATACACGAGTTGCCGGACTTTGCCATAGTTGTGATGAAGGCATTCCTGCATAGAGCTCTGGCCTACTAATGCTCAGGTGGTGCCAAATGGTGATTACAAGTCTCCATTGGACTGAGGGAACACCATTGAACCTGCCTGAAAAAGGCACTCTCATATCGCCGAAACATGGTGAATTCTGGCAGTCTCCAGCCCAAGCCCTCATAATAGCAACTCGACATCCGACCTTGGGGTCCGGGCCCTGGTCGTATCCTACGCCGTAAGATGCTGCCTCGGTCCACAGAATAGAAATGTCGAACCCCCTCAAGGTGCGGGACTGGGGTACCGCCTGTGAATTTTATCAATCCCTGACATAACGTCTTCAGATAAGGGAGGCTGCTCCGTCGCAATGGTGAGCAACTCCTGAAGCTGCTCCGGCGACGTGGCTCCAATCACAGCGCTCGCAACCAGCGGATGGCGCAATACAAATCCTGCAAGGGCGGGCCTTGTGCCACGTGTCAGCGCGCACCCTCGTCAATTTGATGTCCGCAATATAGTTGAGGATGCAGGAGTCACGTGTCCGTCCAGATTGCGCCATCAAGCGATTGCGCTGCTTGGTTGGCCAAACACGTTGGCTAGGTAGTTCAAACCGGTATGCTTGATTTACGAGTGAAACGAAGCGTTTGCTAATCGCATTTTCTGGCTGCCCATGGACCGCTTTGGATACGTTTCCAAAGGTTTATGAAAGAAGCGAAAGTGAAGGTCAAAAGCACCAGATAAGCTGGTGCGGGCTGAAATCCTGCTCAGGTACGACGGTAAGCAACCAGTCACTCCCAGAAAGAGAAAGTTACTTGCTGCGAAAGGCCGCCTTCCCAACTTGACCCATGGATCGAGCACAAACAGGATCATCGACCCTGTTAAGAGTCTCGAAAGACCTGTCCTGCAATCCCAACAGTGGCAGCATGCTGTTGGAGTTCACGTTGAGAGCGGCACCACGATGTGCGTTGGCCGTGGTATCGAGCCGTGGTTTAAGCTAACCCAAGTCTTGCCCGACCACTCTTGCGAGAGAGTATGGGGGTCTGTGTTCATCGACGAAGGTTTGACGCAGGCTTTACGCGGAACCATCCGCCCGAAACCCCCAGAAATTCAAAACAATCTCAAGCTGGCACCGAAGGCTTACCACCAATGTCAAACAAAAGCCTCCGCTTTGGAAGCCGACGGAGTTACGGAACCCCCTCGTACCTTTACCCTTGGAGACCCTTGAATGGAACCAGCTAAAACTGGTGGACAGGGCTGTGCGTGGCTTAAATGGCCCCAAAACGGCGGCCCCATCAGACCGCTGAGGCTGAGTCTGCGCTCGATAACAGTGCAAACGATTTTGTGTGGTTTCTCTTTCCTCCCTCAGCTTGACAGGTTAGGTGACACTAGGTGACACTGGGTGACAACTAGGTGACACCTCCAGTCGAAGATGGTGGCAAGCTTAAAAGGAAGGTGCTGAGGAGCTTTCGCAGTAAGTTCGGTGGTCTCCGTCGACGCCAAAGAAAATGATTGCGAGCGCGAAAAAACGGAAACCCAAACAAGAGAGGCCCGTCAAAAAGGCACCCACCGAGCGCCAGGCCGGTCAGCGACAGACCGCTTTGCTCCGCGAGCTTTGCATATGCGCGCACTGCCGCCACCAGGTTCGGCTTTGTGAAGCTGTACCGGCTCTCGGCTTCCGCGTACCGACCTGCGATATCCGAATGCGAAGATTGTTTCCGTTGGATTCATGGTCGTTCAGGTTCCTTCTGGCCTCTTAGTCGAAGAAGTTCGCGATCTCAGAATTAAGAACATCTGTAGATCAGATCGACTCTGGATTGGCCAAGGTGGCGCCTCAACCCAGTGCTCCGCGGACATGCTCATTTGCTGCGCATCCGGAACCCGACGGGAGGCGTTATATGCGTTTTTCGTCAGAACGCGCACGTGCTTAGGACGAGAAAAGCTTCTACATGCTCAGGATGAGTCCTTCTCTCAGCTAGGTAATCCCCGTCGCATTCCGAAGTCACTCCCTGCTGATAAGTACATGCCCCGTAGACACGTCAAGAGGACTGCTCAGCGCCACGAAACGGATGATTGACTTGAAGCAGCAGCAAGTCAACATCTTTTCCTAGCAGGAACATCTCTAATAGAAAATACGGTCCTGTAGGAGCGGCGCTTCGCCTTCTTTCGTTGAAGCCATCTTCGAACCGCACCATCGAAAAGCTCGGTTCCGGGCGTAAAACATGTCAGTCAAGGAAATCGGCGAGCGGCGTTTACTCACACCGGTATTTGTTGAGCCGCGCTCCCGGGGGGCCACCGTCCCCCGTCAGGTACTTCCCCGTCAAGTGACCCATCGCTAGGGGGCTGTACGCGAGAAGGCTGACTCTGCACGGGCGGGTTCAGAGCTTTCACGGTCTAGGCATTTTCAGAGGCTTAGTGGCAAAGCCCAATGTTGATAGAGGACAGATTTCCACCGTTGGGGACAGACACACAACTCAGAGTAGCTTTAGAGGCTTAGTGACAAAGCCCAATGTTGATGGATGACAGATTCCGCGGTTAGGGACAGACACACAACTCGGAGAAGCAGCCTGAGTTTCAAGCGAGGCTTGTCGGAGTGTCCGGTGGCCTGATGAAGGTCTCCGCAGACTGACGATGCGAGACTTGAGGTTCGAAAGTGGAGTCAAAAGCGCCAATTCTTGGTCTTCCAAAGTGCACTGAAGCCCGTACGTAAAGAAAAAGCCCGACTGCTCAACAGAGGGTAACGAGTCTTCCTTAACGCCGCTGTTGGCGGCAGACCTTTGACACCAAATTCAACGAAGCAAGGGCAGTCGACTGGACTTCCGACATAATTGTGCAGTTGCAATCGGACCTACTCACTTCTCCTGATGACAGATCTCGGCCACTCCGCTGTCGAACGTCCGACAGAGGAGGTGGTAAGCGTTCTGCACGGAGGGACGACGCACGAACCTCTTGTGACGAGGTGAGCCGGGCAACTGAAGCATGCAACCTGTCTCGGACGCTTGGAGGCGGAAGAGAAGCTAAAAAACCATTTGATCCAAGAGGTTCGAAGGACTTCACACGCTATCTTTCATGTTCATCGCCGTCAATGCTCGCTGTGCAAATCTGTCCGACTGGCCACCGAAAGGTGAACGATGCAGTTGCGTATGCATCCTCGGCGATCAACCGCTTATCGGTAAATACTCAAGTACGCTACTCTTTGTGCGGAGTACGAAGGAGACCGCTGGTCACCCAACGCAAAGCGAACCACCCTTGTGGAATCTATTTCGGAGCAATGCTTACGTCAGCAGAAGGAGGAGTTCCCGGGTTGTCGTTTGCGGACTCTGTCTTGAGGGAGGATGGCAGCACCATTTCAATTCTTCGAATTTTTCATACGAGTTAGAACTCTCTCGTACCGTGTCTTAGGATATGAAAGAAACCGAGTGTCCTCACCTGGATTGCCTGTACTCTAGGGTAGTCTGTGCCGTCATCTATCCCGCCCTGTGCGCACTCTAAGAACTTGGCCAGGCCGTACGGCGTCTCGTTGCTCAGGCCAACATGCCGGATCTGCAAAACGCAATCAACAGTAAGCGCGACATTGCTCATTTTCAAAAGCACGCGGGTCTCTTCGTTTGTTTAGGGACGGGATCCAAATTCTTTGATGATTGAGCCGGAGCTTTACGAGATTCAATTGGAGGCGTTATGGATGAGCAGCACCTGCCGTTCTTGATTCTACACAGTCTAAGTGCTGCATATTTTTGACCCTCTCTTCTGGCCCGTCTGTTCCATGTCTCTTTCCGGAACGGCCTCTGATGAGCTCGCCAATTTACGAAGCCTGATTCTCCCCTTCCCTTTTCCTGAATTTTCCTAGTATGGAACACCGGGAAGCGTCGAATAAGGATCTGTTCACACGGCATACGCAACTTCGATTCCAATACGACTTCGACCTGACTAAGCAGTTCAGGTAGAATGATATCAGCGTTGCTCACAAAGTCACAGATCCGAGCACGCTCAACAGAGGCCTAGAGCGCAGACCTTGCCTGCTTGCTTGGCTTCTGCGAGGGCGGCCAGCTGCTCTTCAAACGTAACGGAGGTGAACGCGTTGGAAGGGTCGTAGTCGATGTCTCCAAACATCGGGACGTACCTGCACGGAGCACAGCAGTCAGTGGATCGTTTGACAAAAGTGGAACCAACGAACGGTTGCGGAGACGGAATTGTCAAGTCTTGAAGAGCAATCGAAGCTTAAATTCCTGTCGTCATTCCTGCGGACATGGATCTGGACGAAGTGTGCCGAAAACGGAGGAGCGGGAGCGGACTTAGGCGCTCCGCTCGTGAATGCCCCGTTTCAAACCCCCACTTCTCGTTGATTGATCCTCAGATTCAAAGACTCACTTCTGTCTTTCCTTTTGGAACCTGGACGACAAGTGGCATGGTCTCACACAAAGGTTGCACAACTTTTTGCCGTATCAGCACAGGTTTCCGATGCTCCTCTGACTCCAGATGTAGGACGCCGAAAGAGCAGCTTCTAGACATGACGTTAAAAATGTTCTTTGTATTAGAAACAGCCCTTAGCCTCGTCGACATGAATCAAAAGGTCCTCACTTCGTGAGGGAAGTCATCCAGTGCTCTGTAATGGATGACTCGTTCCGCCGGGAGGTGCGCGAAGTGAAACGAGGGACCCTGACAGTCCGAGCCAACCTTGCTTACCTGTCAGGCCAGTGTATCTGGTACAAGTCAATGTAGTCCGTCTGCAGCCGCCTCAAACTGGAGAAACGATGAAGGCATGTCAGCGGTTTAGGCTAAAACTTGACGATCTCCAGGGAGCCAATTCAAACTGAAGGAAAGATGAAGGCGTGTCAGCAAGTTAGGCTAAACCTTGAAGACTTCAGCTGGAGCCGGACCTCTTCCACGAGACATGCGCAGTACACACACGTTACAAGAGAAGAGCAACAAACTTCTCGCAACATTCTGCATCGTGGATGGCTTGCTAACTTCTTACTGCCGGAAGGTGCTAATGATGAAGGAAGCAAAGCTGCCAGTCCGAGATCCGGCTCAAGGCAGAGACCCTTTGTGACCTGATAATGATCTCTCCCGTAAGTCCCTCCGACAAGTGATGACAAAACTTGTCTCCGCCTGAAACCCGTCTATCAGACACCGAAAATTGGAACAGAGAGAACAATCGCTGCGCCTACCTGTCATCTATTGCCTCTTTTATGTTTCTACGGTCCAGTGTGTGCGGCCCTCCTCTGATCCACGTCATCTGTCCGGACGGCCCTGCTACCTGACAGACGACCGGAAATGGATGGTTGCGGCTACCCCTGGGTCAAGCTTCGAAAATGTTAAATTCCAAGAAAGTCTCTGTGTGGCAACGACTAGGCAATCAAGCTTAACCGATTCCAATGGCACCTACACGCGGAGTTAAATCTGTTCTGGGCACCTACACGCGGAGTTAGATCTGTTCTGGACAGCGGCGCACAAAACTTGGCATGGGCGAAGTCCGGCCAAAACCTCAGAAGAAGGACATCAAGCAAGTGCTGAACACAAAACACAAACTCACCTTTGTTGCAACAATGATTTTGTCACGATTGTGCCGTTCCTTCATCCACTGCCCCACCATCTCTTCACTGCGGCCTTGAGTCTCTGCCTTCTGGGGCACAGGGTACCTGCAGATAGTCATGCCATCCCTTTCGCAGCCCCTTTTTTGTGAGTCACCCTTTTACCTCTTTCATAGATGATATGACCTCATATGAGTGACTTTGTTTCTTCCCTAGCCAAACAGACTGTTTGAGGCACTTGCTTGCACGTGACTCATTGTCGACAGTGGGGGGATTGGTTGTATGTCGCCTTTGATCGCTTCGGCCCAATTGGTAGGCTGTATTCGCAAAGGGGCATCGCAGAGAATACAAGCGCATTGTGGCACCACAAAGTGTACCGGATTCGTACAAGGAGTCTCAGTGCAATCATAACAGGAAAGAGAGACTGCGTGCTTTCCTGGGCCTGACGCTTGCTGTTTTGACTCCGCCTTTATGAAGGATGTGAACCTTTTATTGAACATTCCAAAGAAAGATCTAGCAGCGCATAAACGACGTGCACTTTTGCCTGGGGCCTCTTTTCGAAGGTGGTGGTAATGAGCAAGAGCAAATTTGTTCGCATGGGTTGGAGATTCTCGTGGACTTTGCACCTCGACCTACCGAATGCCCTTGGGGTACAGGAGGAAGGAAGCTGGAGCACTGAACTTACATTTCAGCAGAGTCTATGAAGTTTACGCCAGCTTCACTTGCCATGTCCAACTGCGCACAGGCCTCCTGATAAGTGTTGCCCTCCCCAAAAGTCATTGTGCCTGAAGAATGTGCGACTAAATTGAGTCATTGCCCCCGACAGAGTGCATTCGTACAGGGCATCCTATACTTTGTAGGGAAACAATGTCACTTTGTGATGATCCTTGCAGAGGGCTCTGATGATCTGCCAGCTCCAGCTTTTTTTTAAGTCAGGCGATCGAACGGTGGTGGTGGCACAGGTGCAGGAAAATCCAAATCTTCTCTGAAAATCTACAGGGCGACTTGTGATCACACAATGACACAAGCTGCCTAAGGCTCGTCATAGCAGGAACGCCATCAATTACTTGACCGCACTTCACTAAGTCAAGCCACTTGTGCTGGCTCGCACTATTTTAATCAGGGCACTTGATATTGTTAGCAGGAGTGCATTTCTAACTCAAGTATCAGTGGCAGGAGAACACTCACCTAGACAGATCTTTGAAACGGCCAATTGAGTGTGCCCCAGGTCTGAGTACGCCATCGCAGAACGTGCTTGGCCAGTCTGAATGCACCACCTTCGCTTTCTTGTGACGTCAACATTCTGTCGAAGCTCTCGGACTGTCTGATGGCTGCCAAAATTGTTGACTATTCCTTGCTTCCAATCACAATTGCTTGATCTCCACAGGCTTCCTTTGTAAAGTTGGGGTGTTCGCTGGAAAAGCTTTCCACCAGGGCCCGCTTGGGAGACTGCTTTCGAGGGTCCTGTGGAGCAATGAGGTGCTCTGTAACGATGCACGCTCCCCATTGATTGCAACCACGGCCCCCAATTGTGAATGGCGGGCACAGCGTTGCATTCTTCCCCAGAGACGCCTGCACCTTGCTGCCACGACTTTCTTTCTCAGATTTGCAGCCGGTAAACAATTACCGGCTGCCACAGTCCCATCGTCCTGGCAGTGATTGGTCCCCGGGACAGGGAGTGAGTACCCGGGTGACAAAGGGGCCTGTTCTGTGAAAAACACGCTAAATCGAGGAAGTCGAGCTCAGAAACAAATGACCAGCCTGAGCAAATGCGCAGGAAGTTTGCTTCAACTTTCGGTGCTTCAACTTTTCGTTGAAGCACAAGCAAATGCGCAGGAAGTTGAAGCACTGTGCAGCCTGCAGCTGAGCACACTTCATTCAACATGGCGGCTAGGGAACCCCACATTGCGCTCCCCCACCTGGGGCCTGAGCTACTGAAACGCATTTTCTTCAAGGTGGGCCCCAGCCCCAAGGACGTAGCCACGTTGGCCTTCGTCTGCAAAGCCTGGCGGGACGTTCTGCACGAATTCACATGGGAAGCGCTCTGCTTGGAAGCGGCGCCGGCGCTCTGTGAGAAGGCGGGGTTTGGGGGTGGAAAGACGCCCCCTGGAAAGTGGGGCTGGAGGGGGCTATATAAGCTTTTGACTTACTGTCCTGGGATCCAGACTCCAGTCCCTGACGATCGGGATGAACTGAAGTCTCCAGAGGATTTGTGCTTGTTTGTGGGGCATGTAGAGGCTGAGAACCAGCTAGGCTTCTTGGCTGGGCCGAGGTTGAAGAAAGACCTGAGGCTGAAGGCGGCATGCCGGAAGGACACTTTGTTTGTCACCCGGCCGTGTGACAATCCACACCTTGATAAGACTGACGAGTTCTCAGAAGGCTTTCCTAGTGCTGCGCGGGGTCTGGTCAAGGATTTCCCGAACTCAGCATTTGCCAGGAAATCGGGCGCGGCCGCCTATCTGAACCAGAAGCTGGGGCAAGCAGAGGGCACTGCATCGGATGTGGGGAATGCGGGAACCAGGAAAGAGAGGCGAGACGGTGGCATGGGAACAACCTGTGTCTACTGTGACGGGCAGCTGTTTGAGCTCCCGCCTGAAGACTTCTTCGACAACGACTGGCGGAGTGAGAGGGAAGGGGACGATTACGAAATGGACGAAGATGGTAATGACGACTCCGGGTACAACATTTCAGGGTATGTCTGTGAGAGTGGGCATCTGATCCTGGGGGTCTTTGGCTGTCTTCACTTCGCTGGGGGCTTTGTTAAGAAGATTGATGGGTCCGGGGAGGATCTAGATATAGACGCAAGCGATGCGGTGAGGACGGTTTGCAAGACTTTTGAGCCGGTCTTGAAGAAGGAATTTAAAAGGGATGGTATCGAGTTGGTGGCTGCGCTCAACGTGGTGGCAATTGGGGACAGATTGAGGCCGTTGGTTCAAAAGGTGGAGCGGATGCTTTCAACTGATTTCGGTGCTGAAGTCTACTCCATTGCTGAGCTTCGCACGAAGCTTGCTTTGACCCGCGTGATGACCGATTGGTTCCAAGATCCTATTGAAAAGGTGTACGTTTTGTTGCGAGAGTTCTCACTGGAGGCATCAGAAACGCTGATGAAGCACCTGGTTTGGGGCACGCCGAGCTTTGCTGATGTCATGAAGCTTGTTGAGCAAGAGCTGAGGTTGATCGCCCAAAAGCAGAAGAAGAGGCATGGTAGGAAACCATGAAGTTCTGCACTGCTCTTGTACAAGTAGTCACAAAGAGGTCTTGGCACAGTGCCATGGAGTTCCAATTGGACGATGTTAATGGCAGGGCGTCTCGTAAGTTGATGGCAAACTGTTCTAGTGGATGGAATGATCCGATGCATGTTGTTTTCAATGGATAAAGAAAGTTCAACTTACAGTGATCCTATTGATGCACTTTTGATCCCATCTGATGATCTCGAACGCGGGGCGGATGACTTAGGTGCCTGATTTTGCACTTATTTTCTCGTCAATCACAGCTGAGCTCTGGGCGAAGGCTGCAATTGTCATGTGCGTTGATTGAAGCCCAGTATCGGATGCATGGTGAATTCCCAAAATTTGTGCAATTGTGATAAGAACGGCGCTTAGTACAGCGTGATTGTGACGTTTACGTTGGCCGGATGCCACGCACACATTCTGTGGCTAGGTTACGTATACTTGAAAATTCTCCAGCTGCATATTCACGTTGCCAGTACATGCGCACAAACCAGCGTCTACAGCGTGCGCACCCTTACTTGGCATGCCAGCAAAGGAAAGGTAGGGCGGCTGTACTGGAATGAGTCTTCCAGGATTTTGAAATGGATACATACATTATGTACATTATTGATACAGAACGTTTTTTGACATGATGGGAGTTTTAATTGCGGTGCAAATACTCCAATCAAGATCACTGCCTCTACCAAGAGAGACACGGATGGTGCACAATATCATACACGAGTAAGTAATCCGTTGTAAGTCTCAGTTGAAATATGAGCAGTAACCTCGTAACCGAGAATTCAACAGGTCGACCTATCTCGGGCGGCTTAAGAGCTCATCCGCCTCTACTTCCCCTTGACATACCGCTTTCTTCTGCCGCAACTGCTGCCTGAGGCTGCAGGCTGTGCATCAGAACGCCTTGCAAGCTCTCCATAGTACCCCTACAGATGTACAACTTGACTGATATACTAATGATACCACGAGCCAAACGAACAAGCTCCGTAACGCTGACTAGCGACTGCATGAAGCTAGCAGACCTGATACCCGTTGCTCCAATAAACCAGACCCTTACTCTGGCTCGATATCGATGATAGTCACTGGTTTGCTGTCCGCTCTTGAATAGTCTTTACGGGGCTGCCATACGATGCCACCGCATCTCCTGCACGAGAGAGCCGAGCTCCGAGGCCCCGCAAACGGTGTCTTGCAAACAGGGCACTGACCCTGCAACCAACAGAGTGCCACACGTCAAGGGAGGTACGAACAATTGTAAAAGGTACTTTGCTGTGTATAGCTTGACCAATTTGCAAACGAAGGAGGGTGACCACTCACAGAACTGCCATTGATTGCCGCGCAATGCTTTCCATGAAGCGGATCGATTACAAGCAGCCTTGGTCAACGAAGGTTCCTTCAAGGTTCCTTATAACCTCGGACCAGACAAACTTAGAATCTGGCAAGCCCGAAGGTCAGACACAAGGCCGTTGGCACACTCCCAGGCACTTGAAACGCGGAGGCTTAGATTCAGCATCTGATTCGATTGACTGGCACACAATCAATTCACCTTCCGTTAACCGCCGTAACAGCTAAGCTACGTCAAGGCAAGAGCAAACGCCCACTTTCTGACGGAGTACTATCAATTTCGATAGAACAGCCGTGGCTGCGAGAGAACTACGAAAAACAAGGAGACATCGAACGCCCACTCTTCCGGCGCATCCTTCGAATCTCCTTGGCTTAAATATAACCCAAACACATGCCCCGATTGGTCCTTCATGAGCAGATTCGCGCGCCGACTCTAGGGAATGAAAGCGATGTGACTTTCTGAACTGGACGCACGGAAGCGCTTTCTATTTTCGGGGTCCAACAACCAACGGGACAGAACACTAGATTGAGGGCCCACCTGAACGACGTTACCGCGCAACGATCTGAGAATCATGGGGCCTAGGAAGGGGAGCACCCAAAAGCTGACGAAGGTGAGCCAGCTCAGAATGGAGAAGATCCAGCCAGACAGAATCAGGTACGCCACCGCGATCCACTGCAGATGTAGAGGAACGTATGCTCAGATAGCACTCAACAATCTCTTAGGTCAGTTTCTTGAATCAAGGTCCGCAGAATCAAACTATCGGATGCCATTTGATCGTTGTTGTGCGAGGAACGATGCTCTGAGCATCTGAGTGGCAATTTGAACACAAACAGCTGTACTTTACATGTGCAGTTGTTCGAAAGAAGCAGCGAGGACAGCTGAAAGCTCTGGCTCCGCGAAAGCGGACGCACAGTGCTGCCGGAGGAGCGTTTCCGCACATGATTGGGAACAGCCGCTGCTGCGGTATGACGCCCCTCACCTCCCGTAAAACGCTCAATTGCCTCTACTGCAACAAAATTTCCGCTTCAACCCAACTAAGATGATTCACAAAAGGTCATCAGAGTCGACGGATGCACCAACAAACGATGCTGCTTTTGTAAGTGAAGTAGCTCGATGCAAGACCAGAGGTAAAATTGTTTCGCAGCACGAGGCTCACCGATGCTGTTCTCCCAATTGGCGTCTCCAACCACTCGCTAACTCGCCGCTGGAACTGCAGTATGAATCAACAATCGTACAATTCTTGGTCAAGAATAAACACATTTCGAGGTTTGGCGCATTATGAGTTTGCCAAAGTCTTGTGGCAGACTTCCGCAGTATCACAAGCGGCCTCGTTACTCTCACATTAGTTGATGTAACTAAGCCCAGATTGCCAACCAGAGACAGAACAAGGCTGTATTAAAATTGCTGCGGGCAAGACCTTTACACAGTATCGCAGGTCAATATGAACGCAGGAAACAAAGAAAAGAAACAATAATTCAAATCTCTGAGCAGACTAGCAAATAGAAAGTGGACGGGCTTTCTCGCGCTCACCGTGGGCCAGTTCCTCTGCGCACTCTCCCAGGCGGTGGTCGCCTTCTGCCGTACTGAATACTTTTGGTCGACCTCGTCCGCCTTCTCCTGCACCGTCTCCTTGATCTCCTTCACCTTGTCAGTCACCTTGTAATCCCGGTCGATGCGGCTAGCGGTGCGCCGCAGATCGTCCCCAATCTCTGCAGCCTTGACCTTGCCCTGGCGCCACGCCTCCTGGGCCTTGCCCTGGGGGTCGTTCTCAATTTCAAACTGGGCATACCGGCTGCAAGTAAGGAAGAACAGGGTTTTAATACAAGCCAAGCTGCAGAAGTAAAAGGTGGGGACGCAGAAAAAACGGCCGTTGTGGAGCATGAATTGCTCTCGCTGCAAGGACAGTCGATGAAACTCCATGCGTCCTGCGCCAGAATGCAGACTGGCTTGCAGATCAAAGGGCATCGAGGAAACATCCACGGCAAGTACTTCGACGCTGCGAGTCCTTGGCCAAAGTGCCCCCAATTTAGACGACTTGCGTATCTGAACTGTCACCTCAAAAGCACAAAATCTGCTTTTGGTGCGTAGTAGTAAGCAGGACAGCGCTCAGGAATGAGACTGCATGACTCCCCAGGTTGATTGGAACTTGCAGCAAAATGAAACACCAGAGCCGATTCCAAAAGAATTTGGTGCATCTCCAATGGTTGAAGCAACTGAGCCCTTCGGAACCAAGTTCCAACAGACTAGAGAAAGGTCAGGTGCTCTCACAAAGACAAAGAAAGCCACCACTGTTTCGAAACCGCGATATAATCTCTAGGGCGATGGTACCATCTATGTTCAAGTAGAGCTGAGAATGCAAAAAGAGCAGACATATCAAACAGAAAGTAATTGGATCTACAAGTCTCACACTGCTGTCCATCTGCAATTATCAGATGCAGGTTTTGCCGCTACTGACACAAAGTGACACAACTGCTTTTTGAAACTGAAAGTCCCCAACACTGTTTGGCAATTCAGGTTACACCTTACAGTCCGCAAAGGGCGTAAATCAGTTTCAAAAAGTAACGATCGGCACTACCAATAGAAGAATTGTTAACAATCAACCTGCACAGTGTGAGCTGACCTTGTTGTAAGTAGTACTAGATCAATGAAAAGCAGACGAACCCCAGCAACAGATATGAAATAATCAAAGATCAAGCGAACCCCTCCAGACATACCGCTTTGCCTCTTCCGCGAGATCGGCAGCCTTGGCCTGCGTGTCTTCAGCAAGTTCTGCTGCTTTCATCTTCGCTGACTCAGCAAACTCTGCCGCCTTCTGCTTCAGATCTTCGGTGAACCTGGTGATAACCTCATCACCACCCTCCCCATTGCTGCCTTGTGCAGCAGAGCACACTATCCTTGCACGTCTATGTTGCCGTACCTTTTTGAAAGACTGGCGCGATGCCAAAAATGGATGTGGATGCTGAAGAGGATGGAAAGGGAGGCTGTTTCGACTTGATGGACCGGCTGCTGAGGTTCGCAAAGCCGCTGTGTTAAAGCTGCCGTGTATCGCAGGGGATGTCAGAGCCTGACAAGCCATCTTCCACAAATACCACTCCCCTCTGATCTGTCTAATCTGAGAAGGTCAAGGGATGGAAAAACTTTCTTTCTGAGCAGAAAGAAAGCTCCCCTCTGCTGTGTTCCCAAACTTCGAGCGCCAAAGAAGAATTAGCAAAAAGTGACCCGGCACAACAGGGACGCACTATGTTAATCCAACCAGGGTTGATATCAGCCCTAAGTATCTCTCCAAACGTGCGCCCTCTTGGCGTGTTGACCCCCACGTACGCCCCCTCTATCGCTAGCGCTGTTCAACTTCTGGAGAGAGATGCCGTGAAAATCTTCCAAATTCTTCGGAAGCTCAGAGTCAGAGTCATGGTCTAGACTCTCCAACTCCGAGTCTCTGGCTACCTGGCTGCTGGCAATCAATTAGGCCCCAGCTCCTGTCGAAATTTGGGTCCGCTGGTGTTCCATTTGGGTTCGTCACCGAAGTCCCGCGTGGTGCACTCAGAAGCCGTCGATTCGCTATCCGAGGGCGCTAATGCCGCAGGCTAGGCGTCCTGTAGTAGACTGCTGGACCAGATACTTTGGCGGCCTCTAAACAAGTTCAGGCTTCCTCAGCCTTCAAGTTCAGCTGGCCGGCTGCACAGTGCACATCACTGCAGCAGAAGAGGAGCGAGCTGACACCAGCCAATGCCAATGGCGGCGGCCGCACAGTTTTGCAGCTAGCATAATCTCCGCATAATCGCAGCCTTATGCATGATTATCCAAAAGTGTAACCTCAAGGGCCCGAAGAGAGGCTGCATGGTGGTGTTTCACTAGGCGCTGTCGCTGGAGCTGTCCCCCATGCAGTCCCTTCTGACCAAGGCCGCCTGGCGCCAGCAATGGCGGGGCACCCTGACAGCGTTCCTCGCCCAGGCGTCTTCCGGTGTAACAGGGGGAACCTGCCAACACCCTGATTGTAGAGCAGAGAGTTTTTCGTCATCGGCGCAAGGGGAATTGCAGCGGGCGGAGACCCCCACGATCAAGTCCCAGCTGCGAATGCTTTACAAGCGGGTGCATCCAGACTTGTTCCATGGTCATCCAGCCGAAAGGGTAGGGGTGATTTTCTCTGTTGTCGCATGCTGTTTACTCACTGACCGTGGAAGGTTGTTATGTATTTAGTGATCCGGATTGTCTGGAGGTTTCAGATTGCAATGCTTCTTGCGAAGCCAAGGGAATTGCATGCGAAGGAGGCGCCAGGAAGAGCTTTTGAAGCGTTGCAATCTTTGTTTTACGTTTAAACCTGCTGCCCAGATATTCATTGAGCAGTGAGAGGATTTTTGATGCTCTGATGACGTTCAATTTGCACTTCTGGCAATTTGCAGATGTGGATTAGGCATGTGCCAAAAGGCAGGGGGTTTTACAACCACCACGGAAGTCAACACTCAACTTGATTCTACGTAGGTTGACTGACCTTTAAATCTTTACTGGATTGCAGGCCACCAACGAGCGCTCTTTCAAGCTGCTCCAAGAGTACCTTTCTGTCGCCCACGAAGGCTCCCATTCACCCTCGCGCCACTTCCGCTTTGAGTTCTTCCTCCACCCCAGCGAAGAAACTCCGCCTCCGGCTCCCACCTCAGAGCGAACCCCCAATCTGGAGAAAGTCGAGGTCGCTCTTCCTCCCCCTCGCCACGCTTTTGGCACAAACGGCGAGCTAACCCAGTCCACGAGACGGGCGCTTGGGAAGCTCTTCGCCGCATGCGGCCTGGCGGCTGACATCAGCAGCCCCGACGACGACATCAGCATCCAGTCGCTTGGGGACCTGCTGCGGCATGCAGGAGAGACGGCGCGGCAGCGGGAGGCGGACGTGATGACGTCGTCAAGGAGGATGGTGATTGCGCGGAATGCGCTACGCATGGGGAGGGGCGTGAAGGCGGTGCTTCAGGGGCCGCTGTTGAGCGCACCGGCGCACGTGCAGGCGGAAGCTCTGGAGAAGCTAGCGAAAGCTTTGGATCTGGCACCGGATGCAGAGGTCGGGGGGATCACTTTCGTCCTCGGGGGGAAGCACGGGCTTGACGCGGCGACCGGAAACGTGTGGTTGAGATGGGACGCTAAAGCTACCGAGTGGGGGGCAAGGATCGCAGCGGTTGATATGGACAGCGTGGTTCGTGCGAAACAGAGAGCGCTCGAGCGACAGTTCAAAGAGGCGCAGGTGGCGACCGTTGTGGGGGTTGAGATGGTCTACACCGATCACGGAGTTGGGTCGAGCAGCGAGTATGAAGAGTGTTTGGACAGATTGGAGAGTCACGGGAGGGCTCGGGGCCCTGTAGAAGGGGGCATATTTAGTGAGGTGCCTTTGAGAGTAATACGAGGGGGGGACGAGGGAGTAAACGGTTTTGAGATTGACGAAAGGATGGGGTTTGTATCGGTGCCAGTGGGGGCGTCGGCTGAAGAGGTGAGACTATCGGAGTCTGGCAATCAGAGGTTACTGATGTATACTGTTGTCTAACGAGTCCCGAGCCGTCTTTGTTTGTTCGTCTACTCTGGCACCAGATGTTGGCATTTTGGAAAGGACGTGGTTTTTGAAAAGATTGTGGCCAGCTCAAACGGCTCATAAAAAAGCATATTACTCAGGGAGCTGCAAGGGACAGCTCCGTTTGCCATTAGCGATCCGCCGAGAAATGTTGCATATGCTTCTGAAAGTTCTTAATCCGATGGGCGTCTTCAAGGGTCGATTTTTGAACTTCTGTGATGTGTTGCAAGGTTGATTTTGCGTGCGGAACTGTTGAACTGCTCGCTTACAAGCATCTCAAACTATCCCATCTTCTTGTGGAAAGAGTTCTGTCGACTGCGTCGGTCTGTCAGAGACAGTCATCTGAGGGGTATGGTCGACATTTTTCTCGGAGTCTGGTAAAGAGTTGAGTACTGCAGGTTCTTTTAGAAATAGTCCCTCAGGCTAAATTTTGTTCCTACTTCGCGAAGGGAAGTGTAGCTTTCAAAGTTTGAAGCGGACCGTGGAGAACACTCCGTTGGGCATGCGAATTCCGAACAACCTGAGGAAAGCCACTATTGTACCTTCGCTCTGAAGTATATATTGATGAGTCTCTGTCCCTTCAAAAGCATTATTGTAGCAGCCAATCTGTCGAATCGGAAAAAGGGGCAAGTTTCGCAGATACTGCTGACCTTTTGGCGCATTCAGTCTTTGGTTTGGTTTGGCGCCGAGTTGAGAAACCCGAATAAGAGGACTGTTCGTTGACCAAAAGAAGCTGGTTGGCTGAGAACCCGTTTATCTTGGCGAAGACAACATTTGGTGAGGGACAACATTTGTGGATCTCGTGTGCTTGTCTGAATGAGAGGACATATTCAAACAAGCACGTTGAAGGCGGTCCGCAGGCTGCCTTCGCCTGAGATGTGTTATTTGAAACTTATGTCATCCTCGTTACGCTTTGCTGATCACGTGCTTCTTCCTCTACAGGTCTGGAGGTTTCTCGAGAAGCGTGGGCAAGAAGCGCTTGGCATTGTGCACCGCTTCCGATCAGCGGAGCAGAGGCTTGCTGACGTCAGTGCACACGTAAGAAAGAAACTTCGACTTCGGCACCTTTCTTTCGACTCTAGCATCAGTGCGGATCAGTACCTTCAGTGTTGCACGAAGTTGCTGAGACATGCAAGCACGCTGATACAATTAACAGACGGGCTGTCACTGTGTATTGGGAGCGTAGATAGGTTGCCGCAGGAAGGCGAAGATCCGCCTCTCGTGCACATGCGTTGGAACTTCTCAATAAACTCGCTGTAGTCGTTGATTATTGTAAAACGTTTCTGGTATTACATATCAGATTGAGGATGTGGTGGCATATTGTTCATGCTGATGTGGACTGCGGAGTATTCTGAAATCAGTGCCGCATGATTTGGCAGAGCTATTTGGTACATCAAAGGCCGCATCATCATGTCTAAACCTGATGGTAATATGTAGACAGACATGCAGTGCTGTACATATGCTGGCAATAATCGCGCGCAACGACAGACGTTAATTGAGGGCAGTTCATGCCGGCATGCCTTTCAAAAGCCTGCAAAGGCAACCCTTAAATACCGTACGTTTTCAATCCGACACGTAGTGCTTTCTCGTGAATACGTCGAATCGCGGTGTGGACTTCGATCAAGCAACCACCGTGAATGTCAACGTCATGTATACGCGCATATTGATAATATAAATTCAAAACAATGGCGCACGTTGCGGTTGTGATTTGGTCATGCACATGTGCTAGCTTACGTCAAGCTTCATGGTGGCACTGAGGGCCGCCTACTATTAAACGATTAAGCTTTCTTGCAAGCTTGTCGAGGCGGCCTAGGGAAGACAACCGTCATGCGCGTGTTTGATATACTGCGCTACCGTCGATTTTGATCGACAATCTGTTAAGCAATTATGATAGCGGCTGCCATGCTCGATCCGCATGCCAGGGCTCTAGAATGATATCAAAGCGGCGCGGCCTTTTGGAACCTGGGTCGATATAAGTCCTTTGAGTACGTACGGGCATATCGGTGCATGTGAAGCAAGACTGGCGGGCGGCGGCGGTGACGAGCGACAAAGGTTACTGAGCCGTTACCTGACACAGTTCCATATGCATATGAGCAGTAGCAGACAGACACGCTGAGAATCGAAAGGGGATTTAAAGCTACGACGGAATTTGGATGACGTGATATACCCTGCGATGGACCAGCATACCAATCAATAGTACCGGTTCGAAGATGAGATATAAAGTGATGGTGACTAATTTGTCCGAACTCCATTACGTTGCAGACTACCTAGTGAGAGGCACGTGTGACACGAAAATCAACGGAATACGGCAACCTTGTAAGTTTATGCAGACATCCTACAGACTACACCAGACGAACATTCCCGACGAATTTCCAATCCCAAGTTTTCAAACCAAAAACAGAGTGCTCCCTCCCTTGCCGCCTGCTCGTTTCAGTAAGACACCTCTTCGGCATGCAGGACGAGGCGTTCTGAGCCTTCACAAAAAGAATAAGAGATTCCGCTCTCCTCTACTCCAGTGCTCGGCTTATCCTACACCTCCAGGCGCGTGATGTCGCGCGTACCTGGGGAACAAGACGTGTCGTGATAAGCTGTTCATCGGAGCACGGAGGGCCCATTCCTCCTTCTTCTGAGATCGCCCTTTTCCCGTAACTCTTTTCCCTAGGTCCTTCGAGACTGTGTCCCCTTCTCCCAGAACACTCTCGCCTTCCCCCCAAACCGATCGATCTTCCCCCTGATTCACCAGACCTTCTTCCGAGACTTGGTCCCCATGCTCTTGAACCGTCGCCTCGGTCTCCGAGGGTGTGTCTCCTGTTTCCGGGTCTGTATCTTCTCCTGCGAAATAGTCTTTCGCCCCTCCAGTCCTTCCCAGGCCGTCTGAACCGGTCTCGCTCTGCAACTGGGCGTTCATCAAATCAACAGGCGCTCCCAACCTGGCAGTCTGACAGCTGTTCAGCATCGTGTTTCCTGACCCTCCGGATCCTCCGCTGCTCTTTTCGCGGCGAAGGGGGACGGGCGTACTGGCTGTTGGGCGCCTCCAATGTCACCTGAGGAATGGCGACGTAAAATTAGATGCTCAGAAGTGCTTTTCGAAAACAATCAGACACTCGGGTGCTCGAGATTTTATGCTGAGTCAAAAAGCAAAGGCGCTGAGTGGCAGCTTAAATCAGTTGAATTAACATAAAGGCAGGAATTATGAGATGACAGAAGACATCTAGCAAGATCAAATGAAGTGCAGCAACAACTCGAAACGTTATCAGAGAAGGTGGAAGTCGATTGGACCATACAAGGGCCTGCTTTAGTTTTCTCACAACGGTTGAGATCCAACAAGATACTTCAAATTAGCCCCCACCGACGAGACCTTCGTTCCACTATGTTGAAAGGAATAGACGCTTACTTCGACTCTTGAAAAGAATCGCTCCGCTCATCAACTTTCTCAAGCAGAAGCACTAAGTATACGAAGTACAAAACTCAAGAAAATAGATTTCGAAGAGAGGGGTAACCGGCGACATGAGAGCACAAACTCGACAATCACTCAAAAAGAGCTTTCTGGGAGTACGGCTCCAAATGATGAATATATACCTGTGGCAAGAAAGCATCTCCTGGCGGTTGATGCCCCCCGCCGCGGCCTATCACTGGCCCGTCCTTCAGCTCAACCGACAGGGATCCGTCCTCCCCTTCCGACTCCCTTGGGCCGTCAGCGGAACGTCCTCGGCCCTTCCAAAATTCGTCCGGTGCCTTCTCCTTGATGTTTGCCGTCAGGGGATTGACTTCCTTGGGTTGTGGGAACGGTTTAAAAGCAGGCGCTGGTCTCTTCTTGTGGTCTCAGCACCAAAAACCTCTAGAGGTGGGGCGGGATGAGGCAGCTGGACGGGCGGCGGGCGGCAGCGCTGCGCGTTGTGTGACATGGACAGCGGGTCCCCCGGTCGTGCAGAGTACTTGCAACCGGGTTTCGGACAGGTGACTGCGGCGTTCGGACAGAACTGCAAGGGATTCTTCTTTTCAGTTCAGATATATAGCTGCGAAGTTTGGGAACGTTGAAGAGGCGCAAGTCACACAAGATGGGTACCACTGAAACGAAGGCTTGAATTTCAGGGTCTGTGAAGTGTCCCTTGGTCAGCACGGATGTACGTCAAAGGGAACTTTAGAGTTGCACTCTCTTGTACCGTCTGTGATATGGAGACGTCAGCATACGTCAGACTCGGCTCTTGGTTCGGACACTGGATGTCAAAGAAAGAGTCCCAGCTTGTAGAAGTCAAATGGACTCCAAACTTCTCAGCGTTTAGGGCTGCCGTTGGGCAATTAAGCAGGCGCACCCCTTTCCGTTTACGTCCTCACAAACACCTTATCAGAATTTCTTTCCGTTTACTACGTCCAGGTCACAAACTACTTCTCAGACTTTCGTCATGAAAACCACGCGAAGGCGTACGTACCTCTGCTTAGTGCAAAGAAAAGTTCTCATAAAGGATCATCTCTCCACAGAAGGAACAGTTCTGCCGGCACTCCGCTCGGTGAACGTTCCGGTACGTCGCGCTCCACCATCTCGAGCTCAAAGTGAGGGCAGCGCACTGGGCGGAACTCGCATCCCTCCTCGTGCGTCTGTACATCGCTCTCCGTCCCAAGATAGGGGCAACCGTCTTCAACCTGTCAATAGTGGTGAGACGAAGTCGAACCAAAGGGGGATGACTGCTCGTACATTGCTCTCTGTTTAGGAGGTGGCTGGGTGTCGAACGAACGTCTAACATCTGATTGTCATGGCAGCGCACAGCCATCAAGTCCGTCAAGTCGGGGGGTATAAGGCTCGAAATACCATGACTCGGCCAAGAAAATGACTTCGGAAAAGAAAAAACTCAAAATACTGGCCCAACAGAATGCTCTTCAGAGCTCGCTCTTTTGTCACTTCTGGTTACGTGCTGATCTCGATATCTTTCATGCGCATTCCTTTCAAATGCATTCGAAACATTCTCATTCGACTTCTCTGACGCGGTACGGGTTATACTCACCCTTTCCCAGCGGTTCGTAGCTGTCTCCGCTACGAAGGCGAACTGACAGTACCGCGGCAAGCAAGCGACGGCATTCCGCATCGTCTCATTGCGCTAAAGGCGTAACGGATGCCCCTCCCCATCCCCAACCAGAGATGCCGCAAGATGAGTTGCGTTGGGTAGGCAAGATTCGCAGAAGGTGGAGTTGCAGCATGCGCAGATAACAGGGTCCTCGAAGAATTGTATGCAGATCGGGCACCTGCACACAGAAAGTTTCGACAGGCTGATCAGAACGCGACAGCCTTTTAGAATGAGGAGTCCAGACTAAGGTAGTTCACCCAGTAGTATAGAGCGACTCCCTTGACCGACGTGTCAGAACTTGCGCAATCAGCAGAAGACTAGAGTTTCTTAAGCCAGAGCAATCTGCTGAGACAACAAATATTTGCATAATTTGCACCAGCAAGAGGGTGAAACATTCCGACCTTGAACGAAGGGCGCTTTCTGTCAAGAGCTTTCTGCCAGCGAGTCAGAGTCCACCGCATCACAGAACGTTTGTAGCGTGAGCGTCTTGACCCTGCTACCGGTGAAGCTGTTCATGAATCCATAATCAAGATTCGCATGTTCGATTCCTCACGAGTTGCCCACCTTAGGCTACCTAGGGCTCGTGCAAGAGCTTCCCATCATATAGCATTTTACATCGAGAAGCTTGATGCATTGCATGATATTGACAGTGAGACTTAGCATATCCAAAAAGTCGTCCAGCCGGATCAAAGATGCATAGAGGATCGAGTTCGGCTACAGAGCAATACAAACAGCACTTCATGTAATCTCCCCATAATTCCACGTCGCTCTTCTTGCGCACATGGTTATATTTGTGCCCGTTCCCTCATCGATCTGGAAAGGTCTATAAGTAGGAATATGGCTTTCAGAAACGCACATGTTTTGGAGCCTCAGGATCCATCTAACCGTCTTCGCAAGACAGCTTATGAGTTGCTGCAACTGACAAGAAGCTCTTCGCTTGCACATTTTCAACACCTTATTTGCCAGCCGGAAGCTCGTGGCGAACTGTAGGTTTGTCAGAGTTGAAAACAATCCCTTGCTTCGCAAGGGGCCACATGCAAACCCACTAACAACGCAAAAGTCACATACACTGTTCTCAGATGCAAAATCTGGCCACATGTAATGAGGTTCAATGAGTATTGCAAAGGGTCAAGTAGCACCAGGGAGCCCACTATTCTCTGAAGCCCACTACCTGCTGCTCCAAAGTTTCTGATAAGTAGAACTTTGCTTAAATTCCAAAGCTACAAAGTAGATCTTTGGACCTTGATACTTCCTGTTAGCCATCTGGGAATAAATGCTCTATCAATCTTTGGTTTCGTTGCTTTTCGACGCAGATGCATAAGGCACGAAATACTACAACAAGGATTACCGTGTTGCGATCTAAGCAGCTGGCCTTACTAGTTGCTGCTACCGATCGCCAGCCAGCGTGCTTGGGTGCCGTACGCCGAAGTCGTTTCCAGGGCACGGAAGGTGGCGGTGAAGCCGGTGGTGGTCACATTCTCCGGGAACACATAAACAGACAGTCCTTCTTCGACTCTGAAGACAGTAAGCTCCAGATTGGAAAGTGCGATGTGCACGATAGGCGGCTTGGTGAAGGGTGTCTTGAATGTGACGTTGTCTTGGAAGAACCGGTACTTCTCTGGCGTACTTGGTGGGTACACTCCCATGAACCCCGCCCCAACCGTACCTTCCTCCAAGTGAAGGCCGTAGTTGACAGGCGGGGTCTGCTGGAGGGCTGTGAAAAAGCAGGAGGCAAGAAAGACGTCAGCATTCGCAAAAAAGTAAGAGAACCGTGCAGCCCAGAGAAACTGATCAGGACATGAAGAGACTGGATAGAAGACTCCCAAAGATTACGTCAGCATTTGCAGATAAGTAAGTGAACCGTGCAGCCTAGAGAAACTTATCAGGACACAAGGAGACTGGATAGAAGACTCCCAAAGATTCCACTGAGCAAAGTGGAGCAGAGTACAATAGTAATGTGGCACGCCATAGCACTTTTTCAATCACGAAGCGGGACAGGTAGCCGCGACCAGAAAACTGAACGCTTGACAAACAACAGATACTGCTAGTTTCTGCCTACAAACAGAGTACTGTGACGTAAGATGGATTCTACGAATGCTAGGATACTTCATTTCTATTTACTGTAAATGCGTACCAGCCGCCCTTGAAAGCAGCTCATGTGCAATGTTTGTCCTTTTGCAACACGTTTGGATGCAGCAGATCAAAAACACTGCGTCATGATCCCGCAGGGGTGCAACGGGCGCGGCGTTAGCCAGGTTAGCAGAGACTGCATTTTCCATTGATTTCCGCTAGCTGCTCACCGATACTTGCGACCTGCTGAACTCCGTTCGCCGCTTGCGACGCTTGCAGAGACATGTTGACTTTGAGTCTCCCGAAGCAGCTGCTGGTCCCTTGGGCGGGCAGAACTTGCTTGGAGAAACTGGGAAAGAGGAAGAACCTGAACAAGACTGTCGTGGAAGTGTGGAAGGGTCCTGGAGCGGGCGCAAGAGACAGGGGATGAAAGGAGGATGGCGATACTTGGCTGTGTGAGAAATACAAGCAATCGAGGTGACTTTATACTCCTGAGACGTCGTCCTGAAGTCGTCTCAGGCTCTCAGCAGTGAGCAGTGAGCAGTTAATACTACTTAATAGCGGCAAGACTTCAGAGAGGGCAGTAAGATCTGTAAAAGATGGATAATGGAGCAAGACCTTCAAAGTTCAGAGGGTAGTAACTTAGATCACTGTACGGCTAAGTACTAGTAATGGTAAGATGATACATCTGTAGAAGATGGAGCAAGATTCGATATTTATGATTATCCGTTACAGGCAGTGTTGTAACTCTTGTGTGCCCTACCGGTATTATCAGTGCACGTGCCCTAAGATAGGCACCCTGGCACCCTGGGGACGGGACGTGGGGTTGGTTTGGTGGTTAGGGTGGGTTGGGGTACGGAGCGAGTGCATTTCTGGGTTAGGATTTTTAGTTTGTTCCCTTAGGGCACACCGTGCAGTGTTAAGATTGGGTGCCCGACCCCCGGTACAATGGCACCCAATGGCCGCGGGGACCCCCGAAGGGGTGCCCAACGGGCACCCAAAGGTGGGTTGCTGGTGCCCTGGGACATACCTTGATTTTATGTGTGAATACCTTCGTGCAGAATACATAACATTGTACTATGGTGTTGAGCTTTGTGATTTACATTCTTTCGCACTCTTCGGTTTTCGGTGGCTGATTGCGATCTCCAGTGACCCCAACTGGCAACCAGCAGCTTGGGGGAGCACTGGGTTAATCCCGGTTGTCAACATCCGACTCTCAAGGGGCCAGTCTGAGTGTTTCAGGTATCCAACCCGTATCCAACTGACTCTAGCGCGCCGCGGTATGGCTACCGGCTTCTTCCAACATGACACTGCTGGAGAATATGGTGATCCTTGAAACGCACTTCGGTCGGCTAGTACGGTTATGCACCAAGGTCCAAGGACCAAGGTCCAACCATTGTGATTAGAACAACGCTACTGTGGGCCTGGGGCGGCCCGCGGGCCGCTTGGGACACCCAATTGGCGCCCCCCAGGGTGCCAGCCGCCACTGGCGCTGGGCATCCAATCCCCAGGCCCCTGGGGTGCCCACCGGGCACGCAAAGACGACCGGCTGGGTGCCCCATGCAGGGCTCCCGACCGAAAAAGTTGATCTCAGCACTGGCCGCACACGAATGTAATAGGGCACACAGCTGGCTGCTGTACTAGGTGGGTACCGTTACCCGTATGTAGCCTGTTAGGGCAGTGGGCACACAAGAGTTACCAGTATCATGCATGGCATCATGCCATGATGCCATGGCATGGCATCATGGCAATTTGACCAACAGTAGCTGCAAGTACATAGTGAACAGCTGTGCACACTGCACAGTGCACACTGCATGCGATTGATGCATGATGCAAAACGTAAGTGCAAAGCCCGGGCCAATGTTGGCACTGGGCAGGATGAATTCACAGTGC